TTTCGATACTTATAGGTTAAGTATAGTGATGGGCGATACAGAATCGATATTTCGAATATCGATACCTTTCAATTCATATATCGATATTTAATATGACGATATATTCTAGTATCGAAAGCTCAACCTATAAGTATCGAAATTATGAATACAATCGCTGCAATTTCTTGTAACGATAACAGCTTGTAAAAAAAATGGACGAATCGCAAGCTTCCCGAAAAGTCAGCAATTGGTCCATTTCTTTCCCACATTGTCACCTGAGAATATCTGCCTTAGTAAATGATTTATTTTTATTTTTGGATTTTCATTACTTCCAATTTAATTGCAAGCATCGATACCGATAATATCGACATTTTATTCCCGATATATATGTGTATCGATACAATTCAGATGTGTCGCCATCACCAGTTAACTATCGATACTGGAATATTATCGTCCCCTTTAATATCGATATTCGATTTGAAAAGTATCGATATTTTGAAATATCGATACGTACCGTCCATATACTAGTCGAACACACAATCGCTGTTAGGATCGAGAGGAAGGAGTCTCCACGAACGGAGCTAGGTTCCCATTCGGTTCTCGAAAAGTCCCGGGGATCAGCGCGGCCAGCTCAACCGTGTGGAGAAACGGCCCCGCGAGAGAGTCTGGGAACCGGTTTCGTAAAAGATTGCGTCGCCACGCGAGGAGCTCGCTCCCCCTTGTGTTTATTTCGTTCGCCGCCGCAGGCGGCGGGTACGAGATCTTCCGAGCCCCCCCTACGTCACTTCTCTCCTTCGTACATACATGGATTAGGGATCGAATGGTAAGTAAAGGTTTCGCCATATAAATGCTGCGGATACAAATTGACCCCTTGCTTACCGGACACCGGGTCATTTTTGACCCACCATAGAAAGTTCAATTTTGTCTACTTTCGAATACAAATTGATTCTTGGCGAACGAATATTGGTCGGGTCACTTTTGACCCGTCGACCAAATTTGTATTGGACGTACCCCTGAACACGAATTGAACCTTAACGTACGTTGGATAACTTTTGAACCGCTGTTCGAATCGTCAGGGGTCACAAGCGACCCATCATTGGAATTTCCATTGTATCTACTTTGGAATCGGTTTTCTTTTGGTATTGAGTATCACGCAGTGTGCTGAGTTTCTCCCCTAAGCAAGCGTAAATTGGCCATTTTTTGCCACACCCTACGATGGAGAGTCCACACAATGGCTTGAGCAACCACGTGTTCAGGGATTTTGGAGGTATACCCAGGTGGGACAGAACCGCCTAAGTGCATTGTGTGACTGCGTAGAAAGGACGGTCAGGCGGCGGCGGAGGCTATTACACACGACGGCTAAATTTAAACCTGCGCCGCCACCCGGAAAGGCTGGTCCCCCTGCGTTTCACCTTACTACGCGCGCGCGCGCTCGGCCACCTTCGAATCTCGAGGTCAATGTTTACCATTCCCGACTTCTCTCGCGTGGTCGATCAATAATTCCGAAGGTAACTTCCCGTTTCGTGAAACAGCAAGAGGGGGAACTTTGGTACCCCTGGAAATTCTGTTTTTTTTTAACTCCGTAGAATTGTAGGGGACCTCGATAGAAGCATCGGAAAATTTTTCGTTTTTATCGATATTCGGTTGTTCAGGTAGAAACCAACCGTTGAATGTCAATGTGTCTTTTCCTATTTTCCTGTATATCTTCAAAACTATGGTAGATATAAAAAAACTGTTACAGTGAAAACTAAATGACTCCTTGTGGTCTATAAAACGGTGCAATAAAATTGTTAAAAATTTGTTTTTTAAATAAATAAATAAATAAACAGACATATTTTTAACAATTGCACCGCGCAGGTTCATCGAGCAGAAAAAGCCATTAAATTTTCATTCCAACAGTTTTTTCTGTATCTACTATAGTTTTCTAGATATACAGGGAAATAGGAAACACATATCAGGACATAAGTCGTTTTTGATAGAAATACAGATCAGACCATAACCCATTTTTAACGATATAGTAATCTAGCTTCTGACTGAACTACAATCTGCTGTAATCACAAGAAAACCAAAAAATCCCACAAATCGGTTCTGTAAGCCCCTTAATTTTGAGGACCACTAGATCTCATCGACCTTCCAAAAGCTAACAAACCAACCTCGATGACACGAAAATTCCAATGTTTTTTTTTTTTTAATTGAAACAGTTAGAGGACGGAAAGGAGTAGAAAAACCGCGGGCGTTAGCGACTAACGGTATGTATATACACCTGACGACACGATTCGTTAGCTGCATTCTCGGGCGAAGTAGGATTTCGAAAAAGTCGGACAGCTAGGGGAAAAGCGCGCGATAAGTCAAACTGGGGGGAGCGGAGAAAGCAGCGGCAGCGAAAGATGCCTCGATGCAAAAACGACCGCCGATATCTCGGCTACAACAGCGGTTCTATACACGGAACTAGAATCGGTTCTGGAATCGCGCCTACGCGATCCTTTCTGTAGCCGTTGGAATAAATTCCCCTAGATATCTGGAGATATTACGTTTCTTCGAAAAACCCATATCTGTACCACCAATTTCACACACAACACTACCAATTCATGTACAGACTCCTCTTGATTATTGTCTGGCTTGTCCTACACGATTATTGTCCAGGCATTATCCCCACCACTGGGCGGGGGGACCTGTCAAGCGCATACTTTGTTGTCAGGCTTTGGGCAAAACACGAATTTAAAAGGGTCTGAAACATTTCTTCCTATTTGATTATTGTCTCGGCGCCGATCCGAGTTCAGGACGATAATCGAGAGGTGTTTGTATTACTGAAAAGACGGCCCCAATAAACTGTTTAACCCTCTAGTGTCTATGGCCGGGTCACTGGTGACCCATCGATGAATATAATTATTATATCTATGATAATCAAGCAAATTATACGGACCATTCATTTTCCAAAGTGATTAAGTTCTGACGGAAATTTATTTCAAATATTAAATGTTCAACACCAATAAAGTGCTTCAGCGCTAAAATTTGAAAAAGAAACTCAAAAAGTGGAGTTAGCCACTTTGGTTCTTAGATCAGACAAGATTTTATGTATTCTTTTTTTGTAAATTACGTTGAATAAGATTTTATTATTTAAAATGTACACTTTAGGAATATATGTTTATTTTTGATAATTTTGAATATTAACCTTTGTCAACATCCTACTCTGACAGATCAGATAAACATAGATAATTTCACTCTTATATTTTTTCGAAACTCTTAGTTTTCCCTTAATATATCAAGTGCTGTTTGAGACAAGACCATAAAAAATTGTACTTAATTAAATGTTTATACTTATTTAATTTTTATGTTTTGTTATTTTGTATTAGCAAATTTAGTTGTAGGTCACGATTGACCCAGCCACCAGCTATTACAATCCCATACTTAGAGAGTTCAACGTCTAGGTCCTTGGAGTAAAAGAAAATTATTTTCGGAGACTTGTCGTGGCGTTTAAAATACTGACGATCTCCTGAAACTTACGAGTTACCACTAGACTAGATCGTGTACAGTTATAAAAATTTGAATAAAGGCAACGATGTTTTTCTGTTCGGTGCCTGCTGGGACCCCCAAATAGGGTAAACAATAATTAACGTCCGTAGGCCTGGAGTGATAAAGTACCCTCATTATCGTGGTCCCATAGTGTCTGTTATTTCGTCCCGAATAAATTCAATTAAAAGAAAAACCTGCTCGAAAATTCAGACACGGCAATGGCCTTGAACGGGGTCACACGAGTAATTTTGAGGTCACAGAGATTGCATCATCGGCAATTGCTTCGGTACCGTATCATCATTTCCGTCTACAGATTATCGGCAATTAAAATCAGTAGCCGTGACTAGCAACTGTTAAAAAAAAACACACAATTCCTAGTGAACAAAAAATCAACAACTGTTCTTGGTACACCGTTGATGTTCGGGGAATACAAACTATGCAACAAAGAGGATCGTTGAACAGTGTAATTGCAAGCTGGAAAATACAGGGTGTCTAAATAGTTGGTCATCGATCTTTAAAATTTCCTAATTCTGTTTCTACACAAATAAAATCTATTCAACATTCAATCTATAAATAAAACTGTGATCATTCGTTTGGAAAAGGTTTGAGGTAGCTATATAAAAAGAGAATTTGGTAAGTTTTTTAAGTCCGATGGAGTGTCTTCCGCATTAATTCAAGGGGTTGGTAGTGACAATTAAAAATTCCAAGACAATTGGAGAGACAGGACGAAAAGGAAAATAAAAAAAAATAAAAAAACTATAACAAAATATTTCACGTAATACACGATTCTGATTGCAACTATATTCCAATTTCCCACTAAATAAATTCCCTAGAATCTTGAAAAAAAGAATTATAAACCTACACCACAGGTAAAAAAAAAACGTAATTTCGAACCATAAAGTCAGCACCCCACTTTTGGGTCACCCTGTATAACCCACGGAATACACACGAAGGTGGAAGGGGGGCGGAGAGAAATCCAATTGCCCTCCTGTTCATATGCCGGCGAACAAATCTCCCCATTCATACCGCGGGACAAAAGCGAACAGCGCGAGAGAGTGTATATCTGACTTTTGTACAATTGGTAATTAGTACGGCATGAAAGTTCGCGGAATGGTAGCGAACCATGGCCAGAGAGGCCAGTCGACTAACCTCTCCATAGACACTTTTTTTATTCCATTACCCGCACACGGCAAACACTTTATGCATCGACGAATCCGCGAATACCTAAAGGCGGATTCACACAGACGTCGTGTGAGGTCATATCGTCCTCGAAAATAAACAAATATCACACATTTTCTATCGAATCACCACGTACACGTTATTAAAAAAGGAACAGATTTAAAAAGAAATTACTTAAAAATATTCTAATTAAATTATTTGAAAATATTCTAATTAAATTATTTAAAAATATTGTAATTAAATTATTTGAAAATATTGTAATTAAATTATTTTTAAATATTCACTACCCCGTCACCGATACAACAGCAAAAATTAAAGGGATCACTTACTCAGCCTGATTCCGACCACCTGCGCGACACCGGCTAGCACCAGGATCAGCGGAAGTCCTGTGAAGACCGCCGTTGGATGCAGTGTTCGTATTCTGATGGTATTCCCGGAAGCGGTGGCGGCAGTGCGTTTACCACCGAGGAGGAGCGTGCGTGGCCGGTGTGGCCCCGCAGCCACTGCCATCGCGCACAGTCTCCTTCTCACCCGCGCACACACACCACCGTTTCAACACTTCAGTTTGTTCGTCTCCACTGTTCCTTCTTGGGGGTCGCCAACACGATATATTCGGTATAGCCCGTACAACAAACCACCGAGAGAAACGTTCGTAGTACCACTCTCGAAGCAGCACAACCAGCGTGATATGTATCTTTTCGTACGAAAATTTTGTTTTTCGTATACTATTCCTCCCCTCGGGAGGTACACTTGGTGAATCGGCCGGGGGTCACGTGTGTGTACTTTCTCCGAGGACCCCGTAGTAACCGAAAGGAAATATGTATATACGAATTGGCGTGTCGAAGAAACGCGTCGGAGAGAGAGGAAAAACTATAAAGGACGCGAGAGAGAGGCACACAAAAAAAAGAAACACAGATTCCTCGGAGGGACGACGGATCGATCAGTTCATGCCCCGCGCGCGGACACCCAATGCTCACGCGGCCGCGGTCAGCGAACGACTGACTTCGCCTTCGCCGCGCGCGTCAACCAGTGGTGGGGCTTAGCTACTCGCCACCCGCGGGGAATCGGTGGCGCGCATGCGCCACGACGGGGGTTCGAGGGACCACGTGCGGTCGGAGGGCCCTCCGCCAACGCGCGCGTTTGACGGGGGGACTGAATACCTGCGAAAGTTGTGACATGAATGTTAAATATGACGTAAAATTTCGATCACTCGGGAATATAATTGATCGGCGAATTATTCGAATAATTGTACGGTGTTTAGTTGTAAGTTTCTGGTGAAGGAACGAAATGTATTTTTGACCGGTGTTTCTGTACCTGGCGAGTTCTTAGAAAGTTTCCAACTTAGAATTTTCCGAGTTAACGATTATATTTGTGTAGAATTTAATGTTTAATTCGTGATTCTATTCATATTTTAAGCCGAATTTAAAACAGGAACGTCTATAATCTATAATATTATCAATCATCTTTCATTTTTCATTTAAGAAATATTCGATCCAAATAAATATAAACTCTTCTATTTATTATTTACTTTTTTTTTTGCTCGTTCACATTCCAGATGTTATTTTGGTATTGTACGAGCGTAAAAATAAATACTTCTCAGATGTATCGCCTTTCTACCTGTTCCTGGAAACACATGCTCGGAAATCGAATGTAAACAAGACGAGGCCTTACCTGACCCCGAGGACCACCGTCCCTTCTCGGAGAGGTTTTCATGGCTTTTTCGCTCGATCTGTTGAACGGACTGGAAAGCATTCCTTCACCTGCATCTGTCCTCCGGATTCCACGGAGCCGTTCGTATACAAACTAACCGATTCCACCTGCGTTCCATTTAAGAGAACCTGCTACGTTTTTCAGAACTATTTTTATCCTTAATCGCACGCAACAGAAAACTTCGTCGCGAATTAGAGTACAGATGCATTGCCTCTAGCATGCTATTTTCCATTCGATCTGGTAAAAAACAATTTGAATTAATTTATCGAACAAACTGTAAATTGATTTACTTATTGAACAATATAAAAATTCGACTAGTTACTATTTGTTACTGTTGTACATTCTGTCCAATATATTTGTGTATTTACTGAATAAAGTTATAGTAAAAAAAGTGTTTTTACTGTTTTCAAGAATTATGGCAACAAAATTCACGAATAAATTTTGTTTACAATCAAGCACCACTTCGAGTAATGTAAACCTGATATTTCGAAAATTCGGTAATTGCAAAATTAAGAAGCGTTACAAAGAGTCTGCAAATTTACACGCAAATTCTTTGAATGCGATACTAAGTAGATATCCATACTTCTTTCGATACTAAATAGATGTCCATACTTTTTTCGATACTAAGTAGAAATTGACACTTTCTTTCGATACTACGTATATATCGATACTTGTGATGCGATACTAAGTAGATGTCTATACTTTTGTCGATATTAAGTAGATATCCAAGACTCAGTATACACGAAAGATTTAGTAAAAAATTCAGCGAGAAGTTTCCATCCAACACATTTTCCCTCGATCAGCAAGTTTAGCGAATTATCCCTCAAAAAGATTTTGAAGAACTCGTGTGCGCGCGGCAATTTATCCATGGAAACAGCCCGCGCCAAGTAAATTGATCGAGCAGCCCCCCCCCCCCTCCGGTCAGAAACGGGGCGAAACGATCAAATTGTCCGGTGTTTAAATGCGTTAGCCGACGCGCAATTACGTTTATGAATCACGATTATTTCAACGTCTCTCTCTTCGTATCTTGCGACGACGTCTTACCCCCAATTGGCGGAGACATCCTGTTTAGGCAATTGAGAGGAAGATCCCACTTGCAATCATAAAAACCGGCCCATTCCTGCATCCGTAAAGCCAATCAGGACCCATTTCCGTGTGTGTGCAATCCGCGTCATACGAGAGAGAAAAGAATATATACATACATATACGCCCAGCTGCGCAGTACGGCTGCGCGGTGACGCGGCGGAGAGCTGACCGTTAATCATTTGAATTCTCCGCGAGCACCCGGCAATTTAGAAATATTTATTCCTGACCCGGGAACAAGGCATCTTCTGCGTCGTGTGTGTTCTCTTTCACCTGTTATTTCACTGTACATCGGTTCCGCAGTGCACCTTAACCGGGTGCAAATAGGGTTGAATCGATACCGCCAAGGTATTGATACTTTCACTCATTGCTAGTATTGTATGAAGATATTGAATTTTCTCGGTATCGAAACAAAAGTATCGATACCTATTCGTATCGAATTATATTTCCCTAACCTTGATACCCAACACAAAAGTTGTTTATACCTTTAGAGAAAATAAAATACAATACTATCATTTATATTTTTATTTAAATATATAACCATATTATACCTATATTATTTTAATATTGAAAATATTTAAATACACATTCTTTAATTATTAATATAAACAACATTGTTTTGTGTTGAATGTAATTACAATATCAAATGTTGATGGGTCAATACTCACTCCATTCGATACGAGTACTTTTTTTCAATACCTACTTGGTATCGCAACCGTACGTATCGATACCAATAGTACTCGGTATCGAAACAAAAGTATCGAGTAATGTATGTACTCGGATTTACTTGTATCGATTCATACCTAGGTGCAAGACTGTATCGATACCAAAAGTACTCGGTATCGAAACAAAAGTATCGAGTAATGTATTCGTATTTACTTGTATCGATTCATACCTAGGTGCAAAACTGTATCGCACGATAAAGGTCTCTCTCTCTCTCTCTCTCTCTCTCTCTCTCAGTCCGTCTTTGTTGGTTAGAACGCGCGCGTCGTGCTATACAGTATACGGGCACACGAGTCGTGACCTTGTGGCATTTGGTACCTGGCTGTACCAGTCGGCGCATGACTCCGTTTGACGTATAAGCGATGGGTACGATTCGAGGTGCCTGAATCGCGAGCCGTCTTAATTTTCCGGAGGATTATCAGTCTAGCACCTGTCTCAATTATAAACGAACGCACATAATTATTATTGCAACAAAAGAAGACAATTGTCCAGCTGATTTGCAATACATATGTTCAATAATGTTATTTACCTACGATATAAAAATGTCCAAGGAACACCTGTTTTGTAGATGAAGGAATAAAGAACCCTTGCATTGTGTATCTTCTTAATTCTACTACCGCTTGGTAAATTTAATTCAAGTACTGAAATAAATGTTAAAATGAATGTTAATTTGGCATAAATTTTAGAAACTTCCGAAACCAACTGGTAGTCGGTGTACCCTCAGAAGCAAACTCGGCTTCTGTTAGGGGAAAAAGGGGCCAATGGGAAGGGCCTATCACCAGGTAATAAACTTATTTCAAGTACTGAAATAAATGTTAAATTGAATGTTAATTTGGCATAAATTTCAGTAATTCCAAATAAGGGTAGCATGGTAGGAGGCCATTTACCTATGCCACTTTTTTTCCTAGCAAATGAGTTTGCAGGTGAGGGTACATGCCATATCGTTTATAATGATGTAAAAAGAGCTAAAGACATGAAATGTTAGGAATTAAGTGAATTGTCCAGAAGATTGGTGCTGCTTCAACTGCTATTTTGTTCAAGGCAATGTAGATTTGTTGGGAAGGGATTGTCACAAATGACTGGCATTCCGTTCAGTCGGAAATGTTACAGCAAAGGAAGACTGGAATAAAGTAGTTTTTAACAGAACTGTTTCTTTTTTTTTTTGAGAATGAAAATAGATTTGTGGGGGCACTTATTTTGGTACTTCCAAGTACAATGGAATGGTATGAATTAAATACTGTTGAATGTAATGTTACATAATAATTTATGCGTGTGTGATGAACACCATGACCTGCAAGAGAACACTATTCCTGTGGAAAAATGAGTAGTTAACAGAGGTTGAAAGTATATAATATCCACAACTGAGACGATTGCTTGAAGAATATCACAATTACTTGACTGTAAAGGAATCATTTTATTTTAACAAGTAAAAACCGAAGGAAACAACTTTTGTGTAATAAATAGAACGATATCCACAATAAATTTCTGACAATATCAATAATACGGTGTTAGAAACGAAATTGTAAGTTTTAAGATCTGAGATATCTCAGAATTATATTCCAATCCAAAGTGTCTATAATCGCCTCAATTTATTTAAAATCTTCACGAATTTTGGAATCGTCGTATTAAGGATACTTGATCCACCAAAAAATAAAAATGAAACGACAGTTATCAAATGTTGAATATGTCAGCATCTTCTATTAAGTTTCTCACCGTGTACACTCGAACATTTCATATTTATCTACAATTGTCTCCTTATCCGTTATTTTATTAAGTCACTTTGAACGCCGACTATATCCATGACAATTCCCTTTTTCAACGATAATATTAGTTATTTAAGTCTAAACTCGGACATCGAGTTCATTCAACATCGCTACTTGCATCGGATGGCGCGGCCAGAGAGTACAGAGAGACACTCGCGTTAATGGGGAATACAACTGCGTGTTAATATCGTACAGAAGAACCATATTTTGTTCACCAAATTACTTTCTCTTATTCACCAAAAGAATGAGAAATTCCTATTCCTTCGAATCAGCTCTCACACACAGTTACTCGATGAAGTGATATAGAAATATATTTTACTGATATGAGTTACAACTTCCTTACACAAAACGAATCTCACATTTCACAAGAAAATAAATATGCACCCGATTACCTACAACAGACATTTGCATTTTCCTTGAAACTACTGTACGCCTCTACCTCTCTTAATTTAATCATAAGAGAATTAATTTGTAACAGTGGTTTATTTGCATACACATATGTACATGTATCATGTGTCCTCACATGCCTACGTCCCAAAGTTTTCTGGCTGCGCCACATTGACTTGCACACACCACTAAACACCTTGTCCACAGAACAGAGTCAACGCACATGAAAAGCTAAGTACACGATATCCAGAGGCTCTGCGATGCTGCGTGTAAAAATACCGACCGAGGATGTAAACTCACGTTATTCCACTAAAATAGAAATTGGTCCACATCTTGTTCGAAAATGTTACGTAGCCTACAAACACACTGGGTACAAGTACAAACGCAAAGAAACAAGGTGACAGATGGGTGCTATATCAACGCTAAACAAACAAAATACTAAAAACAGTGCTAAAAACCTACACAGTTATCGCATGGTCTCGAGTGATGCTTACGTTACCAAGAAAATAACAACGATTTACCCTCAAGTGATGCTTACTAGAACGTCTGATGGGAACACCTTTGACTCCGTTTCATGAACAAAGCTAAAAATTTCCTACTTCACACATCTGATTGTGCAAAAAGGGTGGGGGGGCACAGGAGATCCATTCACAGAGAGTGTACTACCTCTTACGTTTCTGTTTAAATGGGAATATATATCTTCTACTTTTGTAGGTACACTTCACACAATAATCCCTGTTTCCATGAGTAAAGAGTACGCAATATACCTTAGCAGTCGGTGTCTCAAGGGGAGGAGGAGGAGGGGGGGGGCGGAACAAGCTGGAGGTCGGTCCAAGCACGGATTTGAAAGGTTAACAGAAGTTCTTTTTTCCTTTGTTTTTCTTCTTCCTCGTTTCTACGCCACATCGATGCGTCCATTGGGTGGAGATATATCGTATGTCGTTGACCTTTCAAACTCGCGCTCAGACCGACGTTACTCAGCCGGGCATCTTGCGACTCACAACGCCCAGCTCGCAGGCGATCTGTTTGTGTTCGCGGTCGAGCATTAAAGTTCTCGCGTTCAGGAACGAGAGATCCGGCAGCCGATTCAGTACACGCGCTGTGTCCGATTGTATCGGCATAACACGACCGAACCTATCCATCACCACATGCTCGGACGGTCTTTTGTTCACAGATTTCCCGCGATAACTGTCCCCTGGGCCTGCCTTGTCTGGCAAATACTGTTTCTCCATCGCGGAATACTGCTTCTCAGTCGACACGTATTGCCTGTCGGTCACCGAATGCTTCTCAGCTGACAGAAATTGCTTCTCGATCGATACGCCACGCTGGGTACCAGTGTTTCTTGATTTGTGACCAGTGTCACTGTCCTGTTTCCTTTTCCAATCACTCGGACGAGGTGCTGGTAACGGTTCGATCATCTTCGCCGGCTGAGAACGTTTCTGATGCTTCATAACTTCATTCTCCAGGTAGTCGGTTGTCTCTGTTTTCGCGACCGAATTGCACCGTTCTCGATTGACATTCACTTCTGCGATATCTGTTACACGGTCACAGAAAGTTTGTTTCAGTGATAACGATTTTTGGGGGGCATTAAGAGAGAAAACACACAGGCCACACACATATACATACATATGTATATACATTGTGAGAAAACTGAATGTTTCCAATAGTTGTACAGCTACACAGTGTATAAAAGTTACAGAATACCAAGCCCAAACACTTACGATGATTAACAGGATTCCTTGCGCTACTTGGTCGACGGTAGGATTCAAAGTTGGTGGAACTGTGGGATGTTAGTAGAGGATCGAAAGGACACAAAAAGTCCAAAGGTAGAAGAGCGGATAACCCACCACCTAGATTACATGATACATCAAAAAGTTTACCCGGTGCGGAAGCGAATAGGCGGTAATTGTGAAAGCAATATGACTATAGAAAAAAAAGCAGTGAAAATTTCTAATTCAAAAATGTACTGCTGACGAAAAGAAAAACAATATATATCCTTCCACATAATTGTCACACGTTGTCTAATTTCTATTTGACTGGATATTTAAAGCGATAACAAGAAACGAAAAGAAAACAGCACGAGCATACGTTACACTTAATACTTACTAGCTTCTAAAGGATTAACAAGCCCGGAACTATTCCAATCGAATTGCGCAGCAGGTACTTCCTAATGGGATTTTAGTATCATTAATTATAATTCATCGTATCGTACATAATTGTTTAATATTGAAATTTTCAATTGCCATAAAAATCGATCACAGGTTTTGAGGCTTCCGTGAACCAACCTCGTAGAGTTATCACAATAGAGGGAGCACATTCGGAAGAAATTAGCTAAACATTTTTCTAAGTTAGGATTACATTTCAGGACTGACCGAGTAAAATCTCTAATTGATAACTGTTGCATTAGTTATGTCATTTTATCCTTAAAAAACAAACCCTCAACGGTAATAACTGTCATAATATAGTCTTATAGTCGTCCACTAGCATAAAACGATGCAATTATGTTGTGAATGGTTAATGGCACACTTACTTCTGAATTACTTGAACTTTGGCTTTTACTCGTGTTCGTCGCAGTGGCTGGCTGAGCGTCCACCGTAGCTTTAATTGGTTCCAAAGGTGTGAAACCAAGATTCGCGGCGAATCTAGGAACATTTGGGTTCCACCTTGGACCGAATAACTGAAATCATCATGTTGTTACTTTCCTACGATTACTCGACTCTCGGTATTACTTACAATATTACGAGAGTCAATGCCGAGGGAATTTAAAAGCACGTTGTTGCTAATACTATTTGCCCATTGATAAGTTAAAGCATTCGTTTCCTCCACGCTCTTGATACTTCGCCAAACCTTATCTCCTTGATTTATCAGTGATTGTATCTGAGTCTCAGATTGCTGCTCGTCAGTTGGAAACATTGTTGTTATTATGTCTTCTATTTTATTAGCAGCCTGCGAAATATTTTCACAATCACACAACTAGATTGCAAAATAAGGAAAACAATATACGTACACTCACATTCTTATTTTCTATTCGAGAAATAGACTCTTTCAGGCTGAACGTAGGATGTTCTACCTCAGGCTCTTGGAATGCTGATTCGAAGTCATTGAAGTCGCCAAAGTCATCGTCCTCGTCTTTATCAGGTACCTTTGTTTCGTCAACTTTCTCGAAGTGCGTTTGATCGGAGAAGTTTGTAAAATCGCCAAAATCATCGTCCTCCACTACCGTTTCATCTTTCCTCTCGCTGGTTCCTGTCGAACAGTCGTGGAACTCCGATTGAAGAGTCCCAGTGGAAGTCTCGACTGTGGAATCGTATTTGAAGTCGCCGAATTCCTCGCTGGCACACCTCGAAATGTCTGGCAGTGGTGGTGCAGAAGACAGAAAATTGCTCTCAGCATTCACGTATTTGGTTTCGGAAAATTGGTAGACGTCTTCAGTAATTTCATCCTCATCGGCGTGGCTTCTGCTTGAAAAATCGTCTTTTGATTCACTTACGCTTAAAGGATCTTCTTCAACAGGACCATGAAACGACAGCTGTTCTACATTTGTTGATTTTGTATCTTCAAGCTCGAAGACGTCTCCTTCCTCAGGCACACTTAGGTTTTCTGTACGTTGACTTTCGACTATCGGTTGTTCTACAGACACCTCGAACTCTAAATCCTTTTTGTCGGGCATACTGAAATCTTTGTTTAAACCATTCAAATTACTCGGGATTTCTTCTGCGTCTTGAAATTCAAAATAATCTGCTTTCGAAATATCTGTAGGCACGTCATTATTTGAAATCCAATTCTGTGAATCTTCGAATTGCTCGTAATCATAGAAATCATCAGTCAATGGTGGAACAATGTCAGGACCAGCAGTAGGATCTCCCAAATCCAAACTCAAGGGTTCCACGTCCTCCAAATTATTAGGAGAAACTTCTTGCTCGCTCTCCCCGAAGCTACTGTTTTCACTGGCTATGCAAACTCCTCTATAAATTCCTTTCTCTATGCTGTCTCCAGTATGATCGTTATTTACATTCTCCAAGTTTTTTTTACAATCGTTCACTTTAACCTCAACAACTTCTGTCTTCAATATAATGTTCCCTACCGTGTGCTCTGTTTTCTCAAGTATTAAAAGATCCTCTGGAATTGTTGATTTCAAAACAACTGGCTGGGATTTATCTTCGTCTGTTTCTGGAATGCCATTTAATTTTGGTGAAGCATTTTGAGAAGGTAAAGGCGTCTGAACTGGTGTCACCAGTTTATGTGGTGAATCCGACGACACAGACAGCCCTGAAATATAATCTTTGTTATCGAAGTTCTACACCCGTAAATAATATCCTAGATGGATTACCATCTATGCCTCCAGTTGCAAAATCCCCAAACTCGTCCTCTTCAGAATCTCCAAAGTTATCCAAAGGTGGAGGAGTGCAGCTGACTAATGGTGGAAATGCCATCCTTCAATAGGATTCTAAATAATATACATATTTTTGGTATAATATATCCTTTGAATCATAAAGAATTTCGAGGGTAATTTCAAGATCTTCCATTGAATCGCTTAGTTATCAAATAATGTTTACGCTGATATATAAAGCATAATATTTATCGTTTTCAATGTTATTTTAAGAATAAATTTTAATACAATGAACAAGAATTATTTCCTTCTTAAATAAATTACTCCCGCAAATATACACTTCACTTTACACTCAACGAATTTGCCAACCAAAGAAAATTACATCGACATGAAACACGGTGGTTATTAAACAATGTTCAATGTCATTTGAACTGTTTATTTTAAAATTCTTATGTCAAAGAATTCTTGTACAGATCTGGAAGCAGTTTCACCAGAAATTGAAAACTCCACCTTTTACCGCGACTGGTACGCGTATGTCAAATCTGACTAGGTTATGTATATATCAATAGTGACAAGTAGAAACATTTGGCAAAAAAATATCACAACGAGACGATAACATTTAAATGATTGTCGAAAGTAATATTATTATGTTGTTGTCGAGGAAAAATGACGTTATCAAACGAAGCAAAGGGAAACGAACACGATTGGACTTACGTCGTAAACTTACAATGGAGTGCGTAGGTACGTGGAGCACCTTTCGAAATTACTTTATCTATCGTTCGTCATCGTGTCAATTTTCTTCCAGACGGTCTTCATCGGCACGTGCAATCTTTTATCACTGACGGTCGTAACTTGCTAGAACCGTAAGGTTCAGTGGTGCGAATCACGAGACCATCAGGTTGTATCACCTGTTCTTGTACGTGTTGCTTCTGCGCACCTGTGCCCACCTGCCGGACGCGCGTTTCCTTTCAAATTCAACGGAAAATCGAAACACTAAACGGTCATTATTAAATTAAAGAATATCTACGCGAACATAAAGTTTTATGTATTAATTTACAGAAACTGGATTCGAACACATTTTTTTTTTATCCTATTGATGTATTTTATCATGGTCCACACAAAACGAAACGCCTTATTCGATTTTATTAAATATTTCTTACCGTGTCCGCTGTGGAGACAACCGTGTTTGCTGTAAATATATATAATTACTAGAAAATGTGGTTAATTCAAAATTTGAAATATCATACTTAGAAATTATATTCAGTATCCATGTTTCAATCTTCATTTCAATTATTATATACCACGAATATACACATATATTAAGTTCCAGGAGGGCCCCGTTCTGTACTTTCTATTTCATTAAATATTATTTAAAATAAATTTCAATTTTTAAAGATTTATGTATTTTGTTGTGTTGTATTCCAAAAATCCCGCTTCCCTCGCTTTTCAATCAAGGGGACCCCCGAAAATCTGATAGCCCTGGGCCACAAAAATCTTAATCGGGCCTGATTTACATACAGTTTATTAATTTTATTATAACAGTTATAAAAATATATCAATACGTGGATATACCTACAGGAACTGTTATTTTACCACTGTACGGATACACTATTTAAAAATGACTACCTCTAACAAAAATCTGGTAAAGCGTATGCTTGGTAAAATACAAGAAATTATGTGATCTAGATGCAATAACTTTCTTTGAACCGGTGAACCGTGTCGTACTAGTTATTACAATACTTTTTTCCACAAACAGGTATTTCTGCTTTACTTCGTGTTCTGTTTGGCAGTGTGCTGCGTACGCCTGTGCTTCCTCATGTCTCCCTTTTGCCTGAAGCATCTCCCACAAACGTCGCAGGCGTGCGGTTTCTCGCCGGTGTGAATCTTTATGTGATTATTCAAAGCTTCCGTTCTGGTGAACGCTTTCTCGCAATAGTGACACTTATACCTACGATCCCCTCTGTGTATCAGTCTGTGCTGATAGAAGACAGAACCAGTCAGGAAAGCTTTGTTGCAGACGTCGCATTTAAACGGTCGTTCTCTGGTATGCTTCTTCCTGGTGTGATCAGCTAGATCAGGCTTAATTGTGAATCTCTGATCGCAGTATTCGCAGGCGTACGGTTTCACGCCCATGTGAAACCGTTTGTGGGTCCACATGTGGCTCGACTGGGTGTAACTCTTCCCACAAATATTGCAAACATACGGCCTGAGCCCACTGTGTCGCCGTTTGTGGGCGTTCAAGGAATTCGCAGTGGGCAACAGACTTCCACATATATCACAGGGAAATTTCGAGCATCTGTACTTCCCGTGCTCCTGGAACTGCTCGATGCTCATGAAAATGCTGCCACATAACTCACATACGAACTTCTCTTCGCCCTTCTCGGATCTTCTGGACAGGGGCTGATGCCTTTTCTGTTTGTGCTTGTAGAGCAGGGACAATTCTTTCACGTCCCTGTCACAGATATCGCACAGAAATACTACCAGAACCTTGAATATCCTCGGGTGTTCCTTCCAATGCAGAACAGCCTCTGCGAACGATTTGAACCAAGATTCGCAGTGGTTGCAGGAGTACGGTTTTTCAATCACGTGCAACTCGCGATGAACCTTCAGATGATCCCTGTCCGCATAATGGCTGCTGCAGAACTCGCAATGATACAGTTTCAACACTTGCAGCTCTTCGATGAGACTGATCTTCTCGTCGTGCTTCTTGCAGTGCTCGTCCGCGATCTCGCAACTTCCAAATGCTTCTCCGCAACGAACGCATCTTCGGACGGATAATATTGTTATTAGACTGCGGATTTTTATGCAAAATAAAAGTTTCTAAAGTAATTTCTAAAGACAGGAGCAATCGTAGAAATGTATTTTCTCTCGTATGTATCTTATTGGGTTCAGAATAAAATAGAAAACTTGATCGATTTGATGAAAGTTTTGTTTTTTTTTTTGTATTTCAGAGCCCTGTAGGCTAGAAATGCATAAAATCTGCAGTCTAATTACGATCTTAATTTAGCATCTTAACTTAGCATACATTCAATGCTGGTAGTTCTAGTGTTAAGAACAAGTACTTTTTGCCTGACTGATAAAACAAACGGTACCTCCAAACTGTTTGATTATTCTCTAGGATGATACTATGACCAGCTACGTGTTTATTCAACCTTGACTTCTGAGTGAAACTCTTCGAACATTCAGGACATTTGTACGGCTTCTCTGGAAGATGGGTTACCACGTGACGCTTCAAGGTATACCTAAAACGACGATGGTTCAAGTATACACTTGGAAAAGCTTCCCTGATAACCAGTTGTGTACACGTTTCGAGAAAATTGCCAGCAATAAATGACAAAAGTTATCTAAAAAACCATAGCCCTCTGTTTCCGCATTTGACTTGGGTTTTGCAGGCAACGCCAACTGACAAAGTGGTAAAGCAAATTGGCAGAAAGTTTTGCAACATAACCTATGGTCAAATTGAGGGCAAAACCAGAACAAGGTTTGCACAAGTTGTTTATAGCAAATCTTGCATCAAACTTGTAGCCATAACCTTATGACAGGCATTAGACAAAATTTGGCTTTGCAGGTTTGGCTGACTGGGTTTTTTTAAAATAAACAATCATCATACAAACCCATCGCAGAATCCCTTGGAGCACACCTCGCAGACATGAGGCCTCGTCTTGCCATCCACACAAACATGTTTCTTCAATCCTTCCTGGTTTTCGAACAATTTCCCGCATTGCAAGCAGGACACTCTGCCATCTTTACAATGGTATCTAAGATACAAATGTATCAAATTAGACCCGATGAATTCAAATATCCTTACAGTTGGCCAATACCTTTTGTAATGATAGAACAATTTCAGTTCCTTCCCGAAAGTGATCTTGCATGTCTCACAGTACAATGCTTTCGCGTCGTTGTGAAACAGCTGATGGAACTGCAATCGTTCCTCGAACGTGAACGTCGCGAAGCAAACGTCGCATTTATACGGCCTGGACGTGCACTGCAAGTTCGGCTTGCATTTGTGCTCGTCCAGTGTCTCCTTGGTGTGGTAAAGATTCATGCAGGCGCCACATTTCAGATATTTCTGCTTGGTACCCAAACAGAAGAGCGTTATGGCGTCGCCTTGGGGTTCCTCGTCGGCTCTGAGCTCGCTTGGAATTTGTTCCTCGTCACTGCTTTCGAGAACGATGTCGCTGTCGTATAAATCAGCATCCTTTCGATTTTCTACGTCCTCTTCGTAGATCCTCATTCGTCCCTCGACGCACAGGGGGCAGGAATCGGTGTCCTCCAATGCGTTCCCATCGTTATTGGTATTCACAAAGGAATGTTTCCGCTTAAGAATCTCGAGAAGAGTCTCTTCTGCTCTGATACATTCAGCGTCGAACTCGTTACACCATGTAATCTTCTCCACGCAGGTTGGACAGAGCTGTTTCGGAAGGGGATCCGTTTTCTTCACCTGGAAAAGGTGCACGTGAGAAAAATAATAGTGGACAAATATTCTCAACCCAGACCCCCCAATTTACCTTGATGCTTAGACACGTATTTATCTTATCCAGGAGTCTCAACGATTCTCCGAACTCGGAATAAATGTAAATCGGATTGGAGGTCTCCCCTGCGCACAAACGACAGAGAGACTTGAAATGACATTGTCTGTCGGTATCGGGAATCAACTCTAAAACCTCGTTCGAGGATAACGGCTCGTCTTGGGACCAAACAATCGATCCTTCGAAATCATCGAGATCGTTCTCATGCTCGCTCAATGTGCTAATTGATTCTACCTTGCCGACTTCCATGTTGCTAATTTATGTTTATCTGAAATAGATCGTAAAGAAATTTTTTTAATAAACTACAAACAGTTATAGTTAACAATGTACGAAGATTGAAGATAAATATTCCGTAAAAAGATTAACAATGTAATAAAAATGTATGATTTCGAATAGTATCGATCGTTTATTTATTTAATTTGCTATTTATTTTAGTAAATCACTTAAATTGATAATTGTTCATCGAAAGCTTGTATTTGTTATTTTGTTGATCGACGAGGAAACATATTGTTCATCTTTCATTTTCGTTTCACCACGAGCGGACCGAAACGGCGGGTGAACGTACACATCAGAGTAGATTACCTAGTTCCTTGGAAATAATTAGGCGAGGATCCTTTCATGGCAAACTAAACTTGAGTCTTCGTGCCGCGAAACAATTCGACGGGGCTGCCAATTTTTTTTTTTTGTTCGAGCCCAGAGGATTTCCGACAAACACCGCTGTCACGGCAACGAAAACAAAAACGAATCTGAAAGTTTAGTGTGCATTCGACAGACACGTCCATTTTTCTTGGGTACAGCACAAATTCGAAGACTTAAAACGTCGACGAATAAAAATGGAATAACGTTGTGTTAATTTTTAATGAATAACACAGAAATATGACTTCTTATTGATATATTACACAGTATACAAAAACGATGTATTATAATTATCAGACTACGTTTCCTCTGGTTTACTTAAACGTTTGAAATAGTATAACGCCTCTTTCCTAATTTAAAAGTAATAAGAAAGTAAAGCGATTGAGAAATCAATGTAATATAAAAGAAATATCTTCTCTGTGCAATTTCATTCTTATTATAATTAGATTTAATAATGTACATATTATAATAGAAGTTTTTAGTTCGTTGCTCTTTTGCGTAGAAAAGTGCTCGTACAAAAATACGAAAACAATTTCTTAAATCGATATATATACGTGTCTTTAAAAAAATACATTAATCCCGCAAAAATCTTTCACTTGCAGCCCTAGAAAATATCGCATTGGCGATTCAGTTCTCGGCCAGTATCGTATCAAATGTTAGGCTTATTTTTCATTATAGTTTCTATAATTTGTATCAACAAATTGATCAAATTCTTTTAATGAGAATTTAATCACACAACATATGTATGCGAATGTATCAAATACAAAGAACTGAAAATCCTCCTGGATGAAACTTCCTGAGATTTTTGAGAGAATACTGTATATCATTCTGTTATTACAACGTATCTCAGATCATTTTTTACCCTATGTTCCCGCAATCTTTTACAATGTCTTAGAACAGTCATTAAGTTCAACTTAATTTTATTAAGCTTAGACTTTGTGTGCTTTTCATAGTCTTCAGCAGTGAAAAAGTATATTTGCTCTAAAATAAAATTTCATATAGATATCATATTATGCTTTTAGAATCGAATATCATAGAAGCATCTTACCTTTGTCAGTACAAATATCTGAATCTAGTCTCTTATAATGAAGAAAAAGGGTCAAATTGCCATGTTTCCTTGCGTGTGCTTTTCCCAGTGCCAAAAATGTATATTTTGCTTTTAATATCTGATTAATGGTGTCTATCAATCCATTCACTGCTTCTAGAGGCTGTCTACCGATAATATACTTGGGTATATCAGTGAATTCGTTTTTCGTTATTAAAGGTATCGTGGGATAAGTCTCGCGCGTACTAAACAATACTTTCTTGCAGTCTTTCACTGGAGATTCACATTCCTCTATACCATTCTCTATTGTCTGCATTGTTTTTTCTGGCAATGTTGTCCCATTACACGTGAATATTTCTTGGAGAACGTTGCTCAATTCGTTCTGAGCATGATGATAATTATATATAACTTGAGGTGGAACATTCATTTCCATGTGAATAATCTTTTCATCCAAAACCTTCATCAGTGATAATAATTCCTAGAAGTTTGATTTATGTGTACATATATGCTTAATATTACATTATATTTTTACAATAATATAATCAATATTACTGCGAAGAAGGTACCCAAAAATTCTTACATTGCATTGATTATTCTGTTCCTTCATTTTGTGCAATTTTTCCTTTAACTTATCGATGCCATCAGATAATACTGACACTTCTGAACGAAGTTCGTAAAGCTCTTCTTTTATTGCATCTTTACCTAAAAGAACAACACGATAGACATGTTGTACAGCGACCGAAACGCACGAAGTGTTCAAATAAAGCAGTAATCGTTCTCTAATAAATTATGTTTCGCGGTACCTTTTACACATATCGTCGCTCTGTTGAGTTCTTGTAACTTATTAAACTGTCGTTCCAAGATATCACCGAGAGAATAGCAGTCTACCATTATTCGAAGAACGCAGAGAAACGTGCAGATCCACAATGTTTCGTTTCTAATTAAAAATCTCTCTTACTGCGCATAAACGAACATAATTCTTTATCGTAAAAAACAACGTTATTTCATTGAACACATGTAACGGTCAAACATCGTATGCAGTTTACAAACTGTTACAAACTTCAAATTCAAGTTAGCGTAACTCGTAGGTGGCGCTGAGTGTTACCTTCGTATTTCTGAAGGCGCGTTTAGACAAATAAATTGAACGAAACATTCGTTATGACACATTCACGTGTAAGATAATTATCCTTCTAATAAAAGAAAAATTCTATTCTGACAACTTCTAAATATAACCCTTCTACGTGAAAATAGTAATTTCTTTAAAATTGATTTTCTAAACCATTAGTACTGCACAGACCCGAAAGTGGGATAGAAACGCACCCTCATAGTTATAATAAACGATCGATCCAATGGCTGATTTCTAATCGTGCCACATAGAAATGCAGAAATTGGTTTAACCTATCAGAATCGGATTCAACGTTGCGCCGCGAGATGTTAGCCCGATCGCGTCGATCCACCTTCGTCGGTCTAGGGCTGTCTCTGCTTCCTCTGCTGTTTCGAAAAGCTGGCTGTCATTTTCTCTATTTCATCATCGTCTCGCGTGTGATTTCGTGGAGGATGCTTTGACACGTAACACTCTGACGAAACCTGCAAACAACGTCCATCGTTACGGATCGTGTCTGTTCGCAACGGTAATTTGCACTGCGATTGAGAACTCCGTTGTCAGTGCCATCGGAGCTGCCAGTGACTAAAGTGGTGGAGGAGGAGGTGCCCACCTCCGGGAGGTGACCGCAGAAACGATGCACGAGATACCGGCCCGGTTATCACGGTCGTGAAAATGCGTGTCTCCGAACGAGTCGCGTGTTCACCCGTGCCAGCCTAGCAGAGGACTGAGCTCGGCCCGGCGACGATGCGAGATAACTCCAAAGAGATGTTCATCATCAGAGCATTGGAAAAGATCCTGGCCGACCGGGATGTCAAACGGTCGCACCTATCGCAACTCAGGAAATCTTGCGAGACGGCACTCGGTAGAGACTAGTTTTTAATCTTGCCTCCATTCTCGTTACCTTGGTTATTGTCAACTTGAGGGAATGCTATTGTACTAAAAGATGCATGTTTCAGAGCTCTTTCGTTAGTTTCTCTTGTGACCCTCCCTCCTTTAGTTTTCTTGTTCCATATTAGTACATCAACGGTGCACTGCGAAGTTTTAAAATGTTAAATTTTGATATAGTATGATGTTATGCTCTCGGATTGCATTTCTTAGTCTGCACAGAGAGGGGGAGAGAAAGTGAGAGTTAAATTGAATTATATTTATATGATTGCATCATCTCGGTACACTTGCAATTCTTAGATGATTAATCTAGATGCCAATATGTACATCTAAACAATATAGTTCCATTCAAAATGAACGTACTGAATGTTATTCATTCTTAGATTTCAATTCTGTGTATTGGTGCTAATTGATCTCCATACATTTTAGCATATCGAATGTATAATTAATGAACATATGTTAATAACAGAGAAACATGCTTGTTATTGAGTGAAATCACTTCACTCTGTGCAGTCATTTTTCAGACGTCAGACATACATATGTATATTTTGATTTTCAGATAATTTGCGGAATGAGATCAAAGAAGTGTCAGGTACGCAGGTCTCCACCGCTCTGCCTCAGCCGCGCAGCGAGTCCTATGTCATTTCCGCGGAAAAGTATTTTCTGCCGTTCGAGCTGGCCTGCCAGAGCAAGTCTCCACGGATTGTGGTCACTGCTTTGGACTGTCTGCAGAAATTAATCGCTTATGGCCACCTCACTGGAAATGTACCCGACTCCACAAAGCCAAGTAAACTGCTGATTGTGCGGATTGTGGAGACAATCTGTGGTTGCTTCATAGGAACACAAACAGACGAGGGTGTGCAGCTGCAAATTATAAAAGCACTTCTCACAGTAATGACCAGCCAGCATGTCGAGGTACACGAGGGTACTGTGCTTCTTGCCATACGGATTGTTTACAGCGTTTATTTGGCCTCCAAAAATCTGGTCAATCAGACCACAGCCCGTGCTACGCTCACCCAGATGATCAATGTTATTTTCGCGCGAATGGAAACTCAAGCTGTAAGCTAGAAAATTTTTAAATATGACATTCTCTAATTCTGTAATGTAGCTAAAGGATATTGTTCCCCATTTTTCGCGTAGGAGGAGGAGAATATTAAAAATGAACTGGAACAGACGGAAATCGCTGTGAACGCTACCAATTGTACTTCCACTGGTGAATTGGAAACAGAGACAATGAACAATGAGGAAACCACAACGGAGAGTAACCAAGAAACTCAAATAATTGTTCGGGGTATTCTGGAGGATGTTGTGAATTCTGTGGTACCGGAGGACACGACCAGCACAACAATGGTGATCCTAGAGGAGGCAAGTTTAGACCAAGTGCCTATAGACGACAACTCTGACGAGGCTGTAGCAGAAAACGACAATATGGTCAGGGCGAAATTCACTCATGTTCTGCAGAAAGACGCTTTCTTGGTCTTCAGAGCACTCTGCAGGCTTTCGATGAAACCACTTCCGGATGGTAACCTAGATCCTAAGTACGTTCACGCACGAACCACAGAAAGAACACAAGAAACCAATTCCATGGATATATGCTCGCTAGATATATTGTGCTCCTCCAGGTCACACCACCTCAGGTCAAAGATCCTTTCGCTGCAGCTGCTTCTGGGCATACTGCAAAACGCTGGGCCAGTATTACGCTCGAACGAGATGTTCGTGATAGCCATAAAGCAATACCTCTGCGTGGCACTGTCGAAAAACGGTGTATCATCAGTCCCCGAGGTGTTCGAGCTGTCGTTAGCGTTGTTCCTGGCGTTGCTGGCTCGTTTCAAAGTGCACTTGAAAATGCAGATAGAGGTTTTCTTCAAAGAGATCTTCATGAACATCCTCGAGACTTCCAGCAGCTCGTTCGAGCACAAATGGATGGTGATTCATGCTCTGACTCGGATCTGCGCGGACGCTCAAAGTGTGGTCGACATATACGTGAACTACGACTGCGACCTATCCGCTGCGAATTTATTCGAAAGGTGAGGAGACGATGCAATGGACTACAAGTCGATTGATACATTAACAATCCATTTTATTGCGTAGACTGGTGAACGACTTATCGAAGATTGCGCAGGGAAGACAGGCGCTGGAGCTGGGTGCAGCGCCTAATCAGGAGAAGTCGATGCGTATCAGGGGTCTTGAATGTCTGGTATCGATCCTGAAGTGCATGGTCGAGTGGAGCAGAGACCTGTACGTGAATCCAAGCGTGCCAGCCGATCAACAATTACATTCTGAACCACCAGATCCTCCTGTAGAACCGCCATTGCCGCGTTACGGAAGCGCAGGTAGCCTTTCGTCTGCAAACTCTAGTCTAGCCGGAAACAAAGAGATTCCGGACTCGCCGGAACAGTATGAAGTGCAGAAGCAGCAGAAGGAAGTGTGGGAAACCGGAATCGAAATGTATGTGGGGGGCTTCGTTCGATGGAATTATTTAGGAACAACAGAGCGTTCTGTCTATTTAAATGATATTCTTATTTCTAGCTTCAATCGGAAGCCAAGCAAGGGTGTACAGTATCTTCAAGACCAAGGCCTGCTGGGCAATTCGTCCGAGGATGTTGCCCGTTGGCTTCACATGGACGAAAGGCTCGATAAAACGGCGATTGGCGATTTTCTTGGCGATCATAACCACAATCAGGTTATGTACAGCTATATCGATCAAATGAACTTCGCCGATCGTGACTTAGTCACAGCCCTCAGATACTTTCTCGAGGGATTCCGTTTGCCAGGCGAGGCGCAGAAGATAGATCGGTTGATGGAGAAGTTCGCCAGTCGATATTGTGAATGCAATCCAAAGTAAGTACTCGTCAACATAGGATATTATTTAGATTATTATACGAAGAATTTCAAAGATTTTTTTGGACGTATTTGGGATGTATTTAAACCCTGGATGTCATGGTAGAAACCATGAACATTGCTTCGATGTTGCAACACCTACGAATAATCGAACATAACTTTGTATTTAAATCAGGCGGGAAATTTCAAAAGCAAATATATAGTTCATAAATTTTGGAGTTCTGTCCCTATATGGGGATGATTTGTAAAGAGGAACAAACTTCCTAAGTGTCCTAAAAGTTTCCTTAAGGTGGGAGACTGGTGCAAACGGGCTAAAAGTGAATGAATTTTTGGGAATTTCTTGTGAAGAAGTTATTAAACCAGTCTCTTTAGAACTAAAATAAAAATTCTTGTATTCAGTTTAATTGTATAATACTTTCTTCACAATAAATTCCCAAAACTTCGTTCATTTTCAATCCGTTTACACCAGGCTTTCCCTTTAAAATCGACAAACCAAAAAATTGAGGAACTCTCCTTGTTACTTGATACAATGCACTGTATATACGTAAATATGTTTGCAGACAATTTACACGTATCACTACACTTAAATACGTAAGCACTACGCTTCAATTTATATCCTGGCATCGACACTAGCACAAAGTAACTTAAAAAACTGTAATCTGTCACGTACAATAATTTTTCTCTGCCTTTTTGCAGTAACGGATTGTTCACAAGCGCGGACACCGCTTATGTACTGGGTTTCTCTATCATTATGCTGACCACTGATCTTCACTCGCCGCAAGTGAAAAATAAAATGACAAAAGAGCAGTACATCAAGCTGAACCGGCGAATCAGCGATAACGAGGATCTACCTGAGGAATATCTGTCGAAGATTTACGACGAGATAGCTGGCAACGAAATCAAAATGAAGTCGAATCCAAACAGACCTGGCAAACAAGGTGACTCTCTACAAAATAAAACAAAAACTTGTTTGTTTTTTGTACCCTTGAAAGAAATTATTCAATACACTATTGTCACGATACATCGTTTCCTTTCTACGTTTTCTCCATTTAAATTCGGTGTCTGTACAAACTGGTGATTGTCTTATTCGATGGGTTCCAGTAATATCCAGTGAAAAGAAACGTCGTCTTTTATGGAACATGGAAATGGAAGTAATCTCAACTGCGGCGAAGAACTTAATGGAATCTGTCAGTCATGTTCAGGCGCCGTTCACCACGGCCAAACATCTGGAACACGTTCGGCCAATGTTCAAAATCGCTTGGACACCGTTTCTGGCCGCCTTCAGTGTCGGTCTGCAAGACTGTGACGATCCAGAAATCGCTTCTTTATGCTTAGACGGCATTCGGTGTGCGATACGCATCGCTTGCATATTTCACATGACGGTAAATCATTTTTCGGTCGTCGACAAAATTCTAAACCTCTCTGCTGTCTAGTTGTCAGTGTTTCTGTGCTGTCCGATTGCTTATCTTTGAAGGTTAGGAAAGCATTAGCTATGTAAATGTTCTATGTCGTGCTAAAAATAGCTATTTAATGTTCGTCGAGAGCACAGTTCGGTTTTCAACCCTTTCGTTCCCACTTCTAGCTTGTGTTATAAGTAAATTATTATACTACGTAACTGTGATAAAACTTTATCAAGTAGTAAAGACTGAAAAATGGCATTCTGAGCTTTAAAAATATTAAAATATTCTTGTATATCGTCTGTATGTCCTCCAACGTAGACATAAATACAACAGGAAAATTGTTTTTGGTTATTGTTAAATAATTTTGGAATCAAAGGGTTGAACAACCATGCCATAAAAAAAGGAAACAGTTTTGTAATGAGCATTCTCGATAAATGTTTCTCTTTTTCTTGGTTGAATCCAGTTGGAACGGGACGCATATGTGCAAGCACTGGCCCGGTTCACTCTGCTCACCGCGAACTCTCCCATCACCGAGATGAAGGCGAAGAACATCGACACGATAAAGACTCTGATCACCGTCGCGCACACCGACGGAAATTACCTCGGTAGTTCCTGGTTAGACGTTGTGAAATGTATCTCTCAATTGGAACTCGCTCAGCTAATAGGAACCGGAGTTCGACCGCAGCTTCTGGGTCCACCGTCCAAACCACATTTCCCGTCGCCATTAGTGAACTTCAATCTGACTCACAACAGCTCCCATCAGAGCAATTTGAATCTCAGTTCTCTTGATCGTGAGTTTACTTCAGTTTGTAAAGTATATAAATTATTAATTGTATAATTACTCACTCGTTGCACCCCTTTAAAATTGCAGCAAGTGTGAAAGAATCTATTGGGGAGACAAGCTCCCAGAGTGTGGTGGTGGCTGTCGATAGAATTTTCACTGGGTCTACCAGGTTGGATGGTGATGCCATCGTAGAGTTTGTCAAGGCTCTTTGCCAGGTGTCCCTCGAAGAACTCTCCCATCCAACCCAGCCACGGATGTTCTCGTTGACGAAAATCGTCGAGATCTCCTATTACAACATGGGTCGTATCAGGCTCCAGTGGTCCAGGATCTGGCAGGTAATCGGCGACCACTTCGACAGAGTTGGTTGCAGCCCTCGCCAGGAAATAGCGTTCTTCGCGGTGGATTCGTTGAGGCAGCTGGCCACGAAGTTCATCGAGAAAGGGGAGTTCGCGAACTTCCGGTTCCAGAAGGACTTCTTAAGGCCGTTCGAGCACATCATGAAAAAGAACAGATCGCCGGTGATCCGAGATATGGTTGTCCGTTGTGTCGCGCAGATCGTTCATTCGCAGGCCCCGAATATTCGCTCCGGTTGGAAGAATATATTCAGCGTGTTCCACCATGCTGCCAGTGACAGGGACGAGGCTGTGGTCGAGTTGGCGTTCTCAATGACAGGGAAAATTATAAGTGAGCGTACAGAATCTCTACCTAGATAGCAAACGGTTTAAAGGCGCCTCAGACTTAAAATGATTGTAAATGGGGCGTTTTTAAGGCGTCATCTGTTATCTGGGTAGATACACGTTGGTATGTTGATTGAAAGGACGCCCTTGTAACGTAATTCTTTCTCTGTAGATGAGTTGTATGCAGAAGACTTCAGTATTATGGTAGATTCCTTCCAAGATGCCGTCAAGTGCCTCAGCGAATTCGCTTGCAATGCCTCCTTTCCTGAGACAAGCATGGAAGCCATAAGGTTGATCCGGTCTTGCGCGTCCTATATCGACGCCAATCCCAATCTTTTTGCCGAGGGAATGATGGACGACAGTGGAATGGTGTCTGAGGAAGACAGAGCCTGGGTAGGTGTATTTAATTTGGCGCCATAAATTCCTGTCTGACTAGGTTAGAAAATAGACGGAATTACTGTACACAATTATATGAAAATTTCGCCTGTGATTAGTCTGTGACCCTAACCTCGTCTTCCACTCTTGGATTATAACTTTCATAAATGTACAGATGGCGTGAGCAGCCACTTACATGAACGCAGAAGTGACGTTAGGTTGGAAATAAGGGTATACTAATATTTTTTTAATTATTTCATTTCATTCGCTATCCAGGTAAGGGGATGGTTCCCGCTACTATTCGAGTTATCCTGTATAGTCAGTAGATGTAAATTGGACGTGCGAACGAGAGCGCTGACGGTCCTCTTCGATGTCGTGAAAACCCACGGGGCGTCATTTAAGCCCCACTGGTGGAAGGACCTGTTCCAAGTTCTGTTCCGAATCTTCGACAACATGAAGCTTCCCGAGCAGCACACTGAGGTAATATCAAAGGCAATTTATATCCACTATAAATGGTTCAGGACTAGATATTCCAATACTCGTGCTTCGTTATTATTATTCCAGAAAGCAGAATGGATGACGACAACGTGCAACCACGCTCTGTACGCCATAGTGGACGTATTCTCCCAGTTCTACGACACTCTGGGGCCCCTTTTATTAGAGCAATTATACTCCCAGCTGCTCTGGTGCGTGCAGCAGGACAACGAGCAATTGGCACGGTCGGGCACCAATTGTCTGGAGAATTTGGTAATCAGCAACGGGATCAAGTTCGACGAACAGACCTGGGATAATACCTGCCGCTGCGTGCTGGACATATTCGAGAGCACCCTGCCGTCGGCGTTGCTCACGTGGAAGCCCCAGTCGCCGAACAAGGAGTCTGATTTAGACGTGATCACGGGCGAGACCGACAGTCACGCAGGCATCTTGAAGAGGAGCAACAGCTCGCAGAATTTAACGAACGGCGAAACGACGAAGAACAAAGTGTTCGGTGCACTGTTGATAAAATGCGTGGTCCAATTGGAATTGATCCAAACGATCGACAACATCGTCTTCTATCCGGCCACGTCGCGGAAAGAGGACCAAGAGAATCTTGCGTTGGCTCAGGCGGACATGTTCAACGGGAAATCGTCCGAGCTAGGCGTGAGAGCCGGCGCTGACCAACAGAAGGAGGAACAGGGCATGTACTGTGCCCTGTCCACAGCGCATCTCCTGCAGCTGGTCGAATGCCTCCTAAAGTCTCATCGATTCGCGAAAGGCTTCAACTCTGACCACGAACAACGGAATGTTCTCTGGAAGGCTGGCTTCAGGGGCAACGTGAAGCCCAACTTACTGAAGCAGGAGACGCAATCTTTGGCCTGCGCGTTACGTATACTCTTCAAAATGTACAGCGACGAGGCTCACAGAGCGGACTGGAGCAAAGTCGAGGCCAGGCTGGTCGAGGTCGCATGCGAAGCGTTGGAGTACTTCCTGGCGTTGTCAAACGAGGCCCACAGGGACGCTTGGACGCCGATATTGTTGCTACTACTGGCCAGGATCCTTAAAATGACCGACAACAGGTTCGCGGTACACGCGTCCAGCTGTTATCCCCTGCTCTGCGAGGTGATGTGCTTTGATCTCAAGCCGGAACTGCGATCCGTGTTGCGGCGATTCTTCTTAAGGATCGGCCCAGTGTTCAGGATCACCCAGCAATAGTTACATGTAGAACGGGTTGTAAAGAAAAAATGAGATTTCGTTACCGGCGTATACAAAGTGTAACAAAAATGTTGAAGGAATCGGAAATGGAAGACTCGTTAGGTGATTTGAAACAAGTTTTTCCTTGGCAAAAATCTTATCCGAGGTTTTGTTAACGAGATATTAAGAAAAAACCCCGACCAATCAGAGTTCCCGCGGTAGACTCGCGCCCTGATTGTTTGGGGTTTTTTCGTTAATATCTCGTTAATAAAGTCTCAGATAAGATTTTTGGTAAGGAAAAACTTGTTTCAAATCGGCTCACGAGTCTCCCATTTCCGGGACCTCCAACATCTTTGTTACACCCTGTATAAAGGTTGATTCCTATAATATCGAGTGGGCCTTTAGTTCTTCGTTTGATGCCAGTAGAAGAATCTTGTATAGTCAATTCAGGTCTTGAGTTCCGTCGTGTTATTTTCTTTTTGTAGATAGAATGAGAGGTTCGGTTCCGGTAGATCGTCTACTTAGTACATACGTTCGTTTCGTGAGTTTTCCTTCTAGGTTTTTGTTTCCTACTTACAAGAATCCACTTTGTACATGGTAAATATATATGTAGAATCGAAGATAACAACTCTATTTGTTGAAACTATTTTCTCTGACGCGCGGGAATCAAAAGCATGTTATAAGGGAACGTACGAGCGGTGTCCCGGGAGGGGGGGGGGGGAGAAAACGCGTTTTAGTGAAACCATTCGGAGATGCATAACGTGTATGTATTGTATATGTTCCGAAACTCTCCTTTGTATTTAAGTGCATTCTTCATTTTTATAAGGAAGATTTCAAGGAAGGACCTATACGTATATTAACCCGATCGATTGCGTATCTGCAGGGTATTTAATAAATAGAGTATTTTCTGGACATGATAATGACGTTGAAATCATCTTGAAATTTTCTGAATCAAATTCTAATAGATTTTATCGATTTTTTATAATATTATAATTTGAATTGTAATTTTTAAAGATTCCCAATTGTACATTATTTAATGAGGCAGGGTGAAACAGCGATTGGACTGCTGTTTAATAGTTTTATTTGTAATATTCTTGGCAAATCCTTTCAAAGTGTACAAGCAATTCCTGCCAGATGGGGCTGGGGAAAAGAGGAGAATTAAATTTTCTCAGGAAATACGCTATTTATCAAATGTTTTGTGTATTCACACATCAGTAGACTCTAACTATATTGCCATGGTCGGGGCTATAGCGGAGTCCAATGAGTTCAGAGCCATCTACATGCTAAGTTCTAACGTCATAGCTTCGGCGCCTGCGCAACATTTTCCTTCCCGCTTTGGTGGGAAGTGCTTCACGTGGCAATATATTGAGAGTCCACTGTAATCATATACAACGTGTCTCTGGAAGTGTATACTGTATCACAGGCGAACCAAGATTGCTGAGTGGAGAATAAGATAATTTTCCATATTTTTATAGGATTGATTAGTGACTTTGTATCGCCGGAATAAGTTGTGAAACTCGATAACCCGTAGCCACGTATACGCTTCAAGGATCGTGTCTTATTTTGGACTTGGAAATCCCATTTGCAGTACATCTTTCGAGACACTTGTATGCAATATTCGAGATACCTAAGAAATGATGGTATAAGCGAGACATGGCGGATACTTAATTCAAAGTAAAACACTTTTTGATGACTATTCTTTCTCCGAGATACGTCCTTGTTTTTGAGAGAAATTACAATGCAACAGCTTTAGCAAGTAATAGATGAAACAGCTCGCACTTTGTTTTTTTAAACACCTCTGACCACAATTAATTAATATTTGTGTGTTGCAAAGACTTTAATATTTGATTCGATTCAATTTGTACAAGTTCTAATTAATGAAAGAGTGTAGAGCACAGAATTTTTAAGGACATCTAGTATTCAATTCACTGAGGAAGCAATGGTATTTTGAACTTTTTAGAAATTACTGTATTTCGTGCTGCTTGAGTTTCACGTCTCTAGCTTGTACTATTATTTTCGACACACAGCCTGTGTATAAATGCAACACCTGCATAGTCATCACTGAAATAGTCATATAAGTATCCACTGCGGATAGGTGTTCAGACAACGAGTGATAGTTATCTCGATAACTCACTAGAGTTTCAATTCTTATATATATATATATATATACATAGAGTCAGTTCAATACATGAAAAATCCCATGGACACACGTTGCATGTATATTCACACCGCGTAGAACTATTTATGCTTAAGTTAGATTAATTATTTACAATAATGCAGCCTTATTTAAATAAATTCTAGAGAAACAAGGATGCTTTGTTGTTACTGTATTTCCTTCTATTCGAAACCATTGGAAAAACTGAACATCTATAGTCAAATTATAATGCAATATTACGTCACCTGTAAACCATAAAAATTAATTATGTACCTTGCTTTGGAACAGTGTTCATGCACATAACTTTAATACGATCATTATATTAGAAATATATGTTTTCGAATGTCAGCTTTACCTTATATATATATATATATCAGCAGTCGAATTATGAATAAATAATTTACTAAAAAGTAGCGTACAATTTCTTCAGAAAGAGTACGTGGGAACTGCTCCGCACCATTCTTGAACGAAAGCTAAGATGTCATTAAGAACTGAATCCTGCGGTGCCTGACGAGCTGTGTTGATTAATTTGGTCCAATCGTCACGGTCAGCAACACGTTCACCCTTGTTAGAACAATAATAATAAATAAAAAATATTTCATACTTAGTCTGAACAGTACACACGAAGAGTCTCGAAGAAAGTGAGATTAGGGATACTCAAATACCTCTGAAAATCGAATCGTTGGACCCCGTACTGGGTAACCTGTCAAAGTGCACTTCTGCAGACGCGTAGATTCGGTGGATGGAGACGTCAATGACCCCACATATACCCCTCTATGATCAGTAGGAAGAACCTGTTCCACCTTTTGATCCATAGACACCGCGAGCACCCATTCGCGAGCCTCTTCTCTCTGTTCCGCTGTCACACTCAGTGATTCCGGTAGAGGCACTTCCACGGGAAAGTCCGTGACAGCCAGATCATCGACGTCGAGCACCGTGTTCTCGCCTTCTTCGATGCATTCCTCCAGGTCGAGAAAATGATTCAGAAAAACGAACGCCTCGCTGTTCAGTCCAGCTGTCCGTGCCTCGACGCCGGCCTCGTAGTAAGCCCGATCGGCAAGAATGATATCAGTGTATCGCAACAGAGTTACGGAGGCCTTCAGAACCAGTCCAGAGAGTACAGGGTAATCCTTACATCCACACTTTACTGCCGAGTAATGCGTTAATTCGAGCAGTCTCTCGAACTTCGATCTTGGCGTAGCAGACGATTTCAGACTGCTCCAGAGGTCCAGGAGGACAACCCTGAGCAGAGCCAGATGTTTGTACTCGTAGAACGCCTGAGGAAAGTTTACATAAATATGGGATTCAGTGATCTCTTGTTGAGTAGTGCATATTAATCCTCACGTTTGAGTTCAAAACATTCTCTGCTAATTGCAGGTAGAGGTTGAAGTTCTGCTGGACAGCAGGTGCACCATACTTTGCGTACAATTGCAAAGCTTCCAGTGGGACATTTGCCTTCAGAAGCTGCACTGCTCGTTGAGTTACATACTTGTGCAACATCTGAGATCCTTGAGAGCTTGCTGCCTCGAACACTTGGCTCCACTGTCCTTTGTTGGCCAGCAGATCTAAACAGGCCTCCGCATCGATCTCCACTAGCCTGTCTATCTGTCCATCTCTCAGCATCGCTTCTTTGTACTTCTCCTCTAAGTAAGGCTCTATGTCCGGTGCCAGTTCTCTCACTATACGCCTTGCTCTATCCCATTCTCCCACTGACACTAGGGAGTCTATAGCGTCTTTCAGTCTGTCTGCTTGTAAAAACACCTGAGAATTAAAACAGAAATTCACTAAGTTCCAAGAGAAGTTCTACGATACAGAGTATGCCTAAAGAGTAAATGGTATTTAATAAGTATATTAAAAAAAAAAAAGACCTGCGCAGCCAGAGCATGTTCGCCAATAGCGAACAATCGTGACCCAAGGTCTCCCCCGACTTGCGCCGCAGTCTCTGGATCAGCTTGATGCAGCAGAATCTCCGCGGCTCGAATTAAAGACGACCTGGGCGCTTGAGGATCTAAAATTAAAATATCCAAAGCAGCCTTCACTTCTCCAACCTCCAGCCACTTCTTGGCTTCTTCGAAAGCATTCGCCCCGCCAAGGGAGGCCGCTTTCTGGCCCAATTCCCGTCGGAGATTCGCTTCTTGACTCGGCAAATACTCTCTGCAAACACGTAAGGCCTCTGACCACATTCCAGCTTTCTGAAATTAATTCAATTACATTAAACCTGCGCAGGGAATCGGTCATAGAAATACTCCGTGATTACTTTATAGTGATCTATAATCATCTCAGGCTTGTGCGCCCTCAGTAACAGGGTCTCTGCGAGGGAATAATCCTGAGCATCGGCCGCTTCGCTGGCCCTGGCGATCAGGACCTGCGCGACTGCGTCGTGGTTTAACGACTGGGCCACATCTTCGGCTGCCTCCCAGTCGCGGGTGTGTATGTACATTTGTACAGCCTCCATGGTTCGTCCCGCGTTCACGAATTCCTTCTCAGCCTCGGAGAAACGACCCTCATCCTCCAGAGCCATGGCGTGTCTATAATGAACCTCTTTCTTCTGTTCAGCGCTGCCATACTTAGCGATCTCCAGGGCCCAATCGAACAAGTTAGCCTCGCAGGCCAATTGAAGGCACCCGTCCAAGTAACCTAACCTCATCAGTAATCTTGCCCCCAGTTCTGGGGCTAAGGTACGGGCCCACATTAGAGCGACCTGTCGCAGAAATGGTAGAGGTTATGTTCAGCGAGCAACTAATCCAGAACCATGAACTTAGCGAAATTTTATACAGTTTCTTAAGTTTATGGTCTGCAATCGCTACCCCTGGCAACTCTGTCTAGGAGTAGGAGTTGAGGTTAGGATCTCAGAGTCTACCTGCTGAGCAGCACTGTCCCCAGCATGTTTCTTGGCCACCCGTAAGGAGTCTTCCCACATGTTGGCTGACCTATAAGCAGTCACAGCCCCTCGCCAGTCCCCAGCAGCGAGGTAGTGTTCCTCAGCTTCTCTGGGTTTCCCAGCCACGTCCAATTCTCTGGCCAAGTGCTCGTGAGTCGGTGCCAATAGATCTGGCCTGTGCCTTCCTACAAGCCTAACCATGTCTGCCCGACGGCCTGCCCCCTTATACATAGCTATGGCGGAGTCGTGTTCACCTATGGCAAGGTACAGCTCCTCTGCATGCTTCAGATCACCCGCCCCGCTAAGAGCCGCCGCGTGTTTGGCCAGCACCTCGTTCGCTGTCTCAGGCGTCATGTATTCCAGGGCCACTTCATGGGCACGACTCCAGTTGCCGTTTTGTATATGGACATCCACCGCACGGTTCGCGTCTCCGGCGCGAATGAAGAGTCTCTCCGCGAGGTTCTTCTCGCCTATGGAGTCGAAGTACTCAGCCAGCTTCTCGCATTGCTTTCTGATCGCTGGGTCGTCGTCCTCGATCACCTAGATGGAATGCATAGGTTACCATTGGTTCTCTCTTTAACACTAAACCTACCACGACTAGTTTTTCCATTCTAATTCCTATCTCTCTGAAGGGTTCGGTAGGTATAGTGTTAACGTCCACAAGGAAACGTACTTGCACGATCTGTAAGCCTTTCCTCCACTGACGAGCGTTTATAGCAGCGTCCAGCGCCAGAGCAGTCTCTCCAGCTTCTATAAAGTGATTAATAGCAGCGTCATAGTGTCCGGCTGACGCTAAATGCTTGCCCCAATCTCGTTCCAGATCCACCACCATTGTGGGATCCACTTTTCTGGCGAGCTCCAACGCCCTGGCGAACACTCCGGCTTGGGAATAACATTGAATAGCCTCCAGATGCTCAGAGGTCCTCTCCAGTAGCTCGCCAGCGAGCTCCATCAGATCCGTTGCCTTCAGTACCTTAACGATTTCATTTACAATCGACTTATCTTCCAGCAGCTCATCGTCAGCCAGAACTAGTCTGGCTGCTCGTCCAGGTCGACGAGCTTCTAGGTACAACTTGACTGCCCTACGTGGATTAGTAGGCTCCAGAATGGCGGCTGCTCTGGCTGACTGTCCGCTTTCGAGGAGCCATGTTAAATGCCTGTCCCGGAGTTCCTGTAGCCCAGGCCAGCCACGATTCTGCGCCAGAATCAGCGCGTCCTCCCAGTGCCAATACTTCTGGTACATATCAAGTGCCTGACTCAGCTCGTTCTGTTCTAAGTATATCGCCTCTGCTGTCTTCAGTTCGCCATTAAGGATCGCCAGCTTGGCCCAGCAATCTGGGCTAGAAAGAGGATCGTTCCCAGTCTCTGTGCTGTACACCTCGCCGGTCTTCACGATCTCGTTGAGAAACCTGCGATTGTATAAATGGGTCTAAAAGGATGCTAGGATTTAGCAGTGGCTAGAATCGATGGTTAAGTCAAACCTAGAACAAGCCACGTCCCCCAAGGCGGCGTAACACCTGGCAGCGACCAACAATTGCCTGGTGGCCATAGCGTTTCTGGCCACGTTCTCCCACATAGCCTCCGCCTGGGGCCTGTCCGCCAGTTCCTCCAAGAACAGCAAAGCCCTGCCGAAATCGTTATCGTGCAGGGCTGTACCGAACTCGATCAGCGGTTCGTCCAATAGATACGCGACTTTTCCACCGAGTTCGTCAACGGTAACCGAAGTTCTGCCATCCTCCCTGACGATGTCCACTGCGTCCCCACGCACAGGGATCAGAGTAGCAACCTCTGGAGCGTCGACGTTATACCACACTGCTAATGTTTGCCCGGTTTGGGCCACAACCACGTCACTGCCCAGCACCCAGGAGGCGAAGCTGACTCCGGTTAACAGCAAACTTCGACCACCCAATTCATCGCTTAACCACAATCTGTATTTAAAAAAAAGGAAGCTCAATTTTGTGAAATAAAATGTATCTTACTGATACGAATCACTTGTCTCTTAGATTAGATTTTGTTACCTGGCCCTTTTGTCCCGCGACAGCAATCTATGGCCGGTTTCACTCAGCTCCAGCCAATCCACACGCACATCATGGGAAATCATCGCGACAGTGACGCCGGTTACAAGATCTACGATCCGAACAGTTCTGGAATCCAACAAGTAAGCCAACCGTTTATTATCCTGGGCACCTGGTGACTGTCTCTCGTTAATCCTGACGCTAACTACATGAGGATTCACTGCTTCGGTCCTAACCGAGCCCAGGGGTTCGTTGTTTCCGTACTCGACGATGGTCAGCTCCCCGGAACAGAATATCAGACAGATTCTTGGGTACTCGAAGAAGTACTTCTCGCTGTTGCTCTTGTCGTCCCAGGGTATTTCGCTGATCAGATTCAGTTCTATATCTGCCAGCAGCAATGTGTTCGCTGTACGTGCCACCACATTGTTGTCAGTACGACCCAGAACCTTGACATCCTCTATTTCATGACCTGCCTGTGACCTGATGATCACTGGTCTGTTGCCTTCTTGCAGGGGCCGGATGACCACCTGACTGGGGCCCACATAAGCCACCTCGTGGCTACCTCTTATTACTGTGCGTTTTAAGACGGTTTCAAACTGCTCCACAGCGCCACAAAGGCTGCCCACAACGAGTCTGAAATGAATGATGACAGTATTAGCATAGTGGTAATCTTTCAACGCAGGAGCTAGCTTACTTCCTGCAATGAATCTTGAGCAAATCCTCATGGTAGAGTTTCCAGAGATTCCAGTGTTATTATAAGTAGTAGGTTAGGTTGTAAATTAACCCAAAATTTATACAAAGTTTGAAAAGGAACTGGACACAGAATACCGAGACACTCAGAGGATAGTACACTGTTTGGCTAACCTGGATCCATCCCGACGCCATGATATAGCAGTGACAGCGTAAAAGTTGGGCAAGGATTTTGAGTTTGCCTCTTCCCAGACGGAACGTCGTGGGATCCAGTCCAATATTCGTATCTTGTTCCAGGAACCAATCGCGATGCTCTGTCCACTAGGACTGCAGCAGGCCACTGAGATCTCCTTGTCGTTCTCACGGCTGTAGTCGAACATTTTCACAAGCTTTCCACGGGAGTCATAGATCGTCGCTCGTCGGTCACATCCTGCTGCAAGGATGTGAGACTGAGTGCAGGCCAAAGCGTATGCTGGCACACTGTGTGTGCAGATGCGTCCAGAAGGTTCATGGTTTCCATCGTCTGTTAGATTGTACTTTATGATGCTGCCATCAGCATGGCTCGACAAAAATCCAGTGCCTCGTACACTGGAATTTAATGGTGGTAGAAGAAGGTCAATGTTTTGTGTCTACAATAGGATAAACACATTGTGAAACGAATAGGAATTACTTTGATGCCAGGGATACAGTCATTGAATCAGCTGTATAAAGGGTCTGAGCTTTCTGAGACTTTGGCAGACAAGCACGTACTTTCCCATCCACCAATCCAACGATAACGGGTCCTTCAGAGAGCCAGATTAGGCAAGTGACGGCTGAACTCTGACGAAACTTGTTGCAAATTACCTTCTTCTCCCCCCTGTTGGTTTAATGTACAATGTAAAACAAAGTTGACAGTTTAAAAAATGTTTGCATTGATTATATACCATTGTTCTCCAATCTTGTACACATAGATTATACAGTCGGATTGACCAACTGCTATTTTGGTCGAATCCGGTGAGAAAGCAATACCTTTGATTACATAGCTCTTTTTACCAAACTGAAAGAAGAGATGCAAATAATGGTAATGTTATCTAAGTTTACAATTGGTTGACGTACCTTAGAATCGACAGGTTTTGTGGAGAATCTGTCTCGTTTTACACAATTTTCATCAAAAAGGTATATAGAACGATCAGAGGAGGCTACAGCTAATTTCAAGTTGTTTGGTGACCAGACTGTGTTCACTACCCGATTCTCAAATTCCTGTTTCACATGAAAAAGAATATGTAACACTGTTATTGACAGATGTATATTAACTTACATATTGATAATACACAACTGTCACTCTGATAAGTTCTTTACAGAATCAAAATACAAACTTACCTGTGGGGGCATGACACTCCCCAAGTATTTTAGTAACATGATGCCTGATGGCACTCAATATCAGTCAATGGTGACATTTGACGATTCCACGTTTTCGTGTTATGCAAACGCATGAGGTGTATTGTTTACACTTAAGTTGCTTAGCAACAGCTTCGTGCAGGCCTGAATTAAGACTTTTTGTGGCCCAGGGTTATCAGACTTTCGAGAGCCCCTTGGTTGAAAAACGTGGGGGAGGAGTTTATATATAGTTTAGTTAATTTTATTTTAAATAAAATTAAATAACATTTAATCATAACGAAATGGAATGTGGTCTCCCGGAGGACGAGGGAACGCAAAAAAATCGGCTCCCCTAATTAAAGCGCATTAAATTGTTATGAAAAACTGAAAATTGAAACTCTTATTAATTAATTCTGAATGATTTAAAAGTACTTCACATTGATATTTCAAGAATTGAGCGCTTAAAATATCGAGTACTCATGTGTACTTGAAATATTGAGTACTGACAAGCGTTCACTACTTTAATTTTAATATAAATAAATGATATTAAATAATTTACACGATGACAGATTCGAATATCAAGTTGTTAATCAAAGGTATATGTAATATAATGGATAACGTCGAACTGGAGGAATATTTTATCTTTATTCAGTGTAGTCGATTAAAAGAAATCGGCACGCTTGAAACGAGTTCAGCGTCTTTAGAACAATTCCGACTCTACAAGAATAAAAATTCGAGGCCTTTTCTCGAGGATTCTAAAACAGTGTCAGCGTACTACCTAACTACAGAAATTTCTATACATCTAACGGGTATTTGAAATCCATTTATCACAAGTCGCACAATATCGAATCATGAACATCTCGAACGGGACATCTACAAACGAAAGTCGTTTAACATATAAATTATGGCACTCTACGAAATTGAGCGTTTAAACTAGATTCAGTCGTTAATTAAAATGATTAATCGACACTCAGTCACGCTGGTGTACAGTGAAGTCAAGTAATGTTCGAATGAAAGTGTAATAAATAATACTTATGAGAACCTAAGAATCGTACAGAAAACAGAAATTATTAGGCCGGTGCACGAATAATCACTGGACGACTATAAATGGAAGCAAAAAAAAAATCTTTCTTTTCTCTTATACTATACCATGTTGATGATATTAACCAACTGTTAACAAGAATCTTGTAAACGAGTGAATATAACATCTTCTTGGTTACTGAAGAAATACTTCATTCCTCTGACAGTTAAAAATCAGATACTCACAAATGAAATGTCAGCTAGAATCAGGATAATTCAGAAGTCATTAAAAAAAAGTAGGTAAAAATTTATAAACCCTGACTTTAACATTAATGACAAACAATGATATGATCAGCCATACAAAACTGGAAGAAACACTATCTGCAGGTATTGCAGTAGGCTCAATTATGAGCTAATCACTCAACAATAAATTAATGATGGAGAACGTGATTGTTTCTGCACCAACCTAACAAGTTCCTAGAATCTATCGAACAAAATGAGTATGCTAAACTCGACGTGGATGGCTAAATTTGATATCCTCGCCGGTTCACAAGTAAATGCATTCACAATGAGGTTTTACAACGTTAAGCGTCGACGATGGTACTCCCTATGACCGAGGGCCTTAGAAGTTAACATTCGCGTCCAGAAACTCGTCTGTGAGTGGCTGGATATTCACAGTCACCGAGTTTTCGAAGATACCACTCGATATTAACCGAACAGAGGTGACACCGTACTCCACCGCCTCACGGTAGTCTGGAATCAAACATAATTTTCTGTACATTGCGTTTCCTTACACTACATTACTATATATATACGCTATATTTCAGTGGACATTAATACTATATATTTAAATAGGGAAAGTGTCTACTCAGAGCTTACCAAAGACTAGCCTGAAATCTAAATAGGTATCTGACTGCTTGGATCTCACCAAAGACTTAATATTGGTGTACAAACAACCCCCAATTGTATACTAAATGTTTATCTGTCTGCTCAGATGCTACCAAAGACCTAAATATTGATATACATCCAACCCTAACTACCAGGGGTTGTTTAATAGGCTTTCCCAGAACTGACGCGCGAAAGGACACGTGTTTGCTGAAACTGATTAAATTAATTACCCGGTTTCGAGTCCATTCCGCAAATCGAGTCCACCACCTGAACTTTCGACGTGTCCAGACCGTAACTGCCTCCAATTACTACTTGATCGCGTGGGTTTCTCTGGTCGCACTGGAAACAGGACTTTCAATGCAATTTTCGTACTTTGATTACTAAGCGTTTAACACTTTGACTGCACGTGGACGATACCGTTTTCAGTTCCAAACTAGAATTCAGAATTTACAGTGAAACACAACATAAACCAAACGTTAATTTGGTCTATAAGATTCAGGAAAATTGAAAAAAAAAAAAAAATAGTACTTTGATGTTGTTGGAAGTCGCGTGGGTGTTCGTTTGGCAGTTAAAATGTTAGCACTTTTATTAGTACTTAAGTACTCTACTTAATACTCAAAACTTAACTACTATACTTAATACTCAAAACTTAAGTACTCTACTTAATACTCAATACTGAAGTACTCTACTTAATACTCAATACTTAGGTACTCTATTTAATACTCAATACTTGATACTCAATGCTTAGTACTTAATACCCAAGTATTGATGATTAAAGTACTGAGTTTGAAGAAATCCTTAAGCGAAACGGGTACTAACTTTCCGTAGGGTTCCGGTCTCAATCGTGCGGCTGGAGCCAAGTAAATTGGTAACACCGACGCCTAGGGCAATCACTTGCACGGTTCCCGGATACAATGCTACGTAGGTGCAATTTATGCGTCTCCCATAATTACGCAGGGTGAACGGTTCGGTTGAACTTACTGCCAGAACATTGCAAGCTGGAAATATCAATAAAACGTTGCATTTAAATAAACAGAAAGATAGATGACACAGAACGTACTCCTGTTGCCTCAGAGATATCACTGTACAAGATGCTTGAGATAAACAGCTCATATATCTAAATCTAAATAATTACTGGACCGGTGATGTTCATCTGTCTCTGACTGAATACTTTCTGCCAAATGTACCCAGATAGCACACGACACCCAATGACGCCTTAACCCCTTGCCCTACCATTTTCTTGACGTCTGCAGTCTCCAGGATTGCATTGTTGTCGATAGTTTCCCAGATACAAAAGGAATTCTGTACTTATCGCAACTGTATTTTTACTGTAAAAGTTGAATATTAATGCCAGCAATGTAGCATGTCACTTAAACTCAAAGAAAACAGAATAATATTCTTCTTTGCTGAATCGATTTTGAAATCGTCAACACGAATCTGTCTCGATGTTAAAGGCGGCTTATAGGCGCCTTAGACCTAAAATAGCTGTAAAATGAACGTCTTCAAGGCGTCATCTGTGCTATGTGGGTAGTATTCAGAACTGTAAAAATAAATTTTAAAGGCCTACAACCCCTATCTGTGCGATGAGTTTTTTTTCTCTAAATATTCTAATCCCGTATATCCTTACGTCTGGGATTCTTCACGAACGTGGCCACAACAGTGAAACCCTTTCCAGGCTTGGGGATCCTGTATCTGATGACCGCGACATTTTGGGAACTAACGAACGTTCTCTTCTCGCCGATATTTTTACCGCAGAACTCGGCGTTCCTCTGCTGCAGGGGCAATCGATGATCCATTTCGCTGGGGAACACCTCGCCGTTCAGCTCCCAGCCGTCCACCACCTGTGGTCGCGAACAATAAGCAGTAAATAACAATAATTTCACTAATACTTTCGTGTGTCTTTATATACAGGGTGAAACAAAAATGTTGGAGGACTCGTGAGGTAAAATTTTTGCCAAGGAAAAACTTGTTTCAAATTATCTCACGATTCTCCCATTTCCGGGCCCTCCAACATTTTTGTTACACCCTGTATAGAATTTTATCATTTCTTTTTTATTTACTGAAATAAGTCCACGGTGCTCGCACGGTATGTCAAAGCTTTGGAAATTGATCTCAACTTTTTGGTCGGGTCCGGCCAGGAAATGGACGCCGCAAACCACCTCGTCATCGGTTTTCGAAGTGTAGATGAAATCGCCCGGTTCTGACGTAATGAACATGCAATCTGTGGAAAGCGACAGGATATTGTTTATCGGTGGAGAAAAGGAAGAGAAGAAATATATAAAGACGGGGATAAAGGAGCGACGCTCACCTGTTATCGGTTTGAAACGGGAATAGGAACCTAAAAAGCCACCCTTGTAGTCCGTTCGATAGAAATCCTTCGATAAATGATCCCCAGGGAGCTGCGATGGAAAATCAATCGTTTTTGTAATAAAAATTCTATACAGAGTTGGACGTACTCGATTTCGAAAAATACAAAATTCAATTGTTCCCTTTCGATTGCAGATCCAGCGATACTGTCTGCTAAATCCCAAAATTGAATATACAGTGGGAACAATTGCGTTTTGTTTGGCAGTTGAAATAGGAACTGAATAAACTGACGAAGAAGAAATGTGTAAACGCAATTGTTCCCACTGTATATTCAATTTTCAATTTTTATATATATATATAAGAATAGGGAACAGTTTGGGAAAAGTCTATTCTCGGTTGTGACATTCAAGTGGAAATATCTTTATCGACAGACGGATATTACGGCGTGATTGTCACTGGTGATTTTGATTACGATCTGTCCACACACAAATTCCGTGGGCGCGGAACACTGTATGCACGATATAATGGACCTGAAAATATCATCGTACGCGAGTGAAAAAGTAGCTTCACGATGGAACTTCGATAGGCGAAACGGATTTCTATTCAAACGAACGAAGTTACATTTAAAAATGATGACAATTTACACAAGTGCATTTGCAAAATTTATAAAGTTCTTCGGGATGTTACTTCGCTGTTTACAGTGTGGTCCATAAGTTTACCAATTTATACCATTTTTACCATTTTTGCCATTTTTACCATTTTTACCATTTTTACCATTTTTAGCATTTTTACCATTTTTACTATTTTTACTATTTTTGACATTTTTACTAGATGGCCATTTTTACCATTTAAAATTTTAATACAAGAGAAGACTAAAGTGAATTATAGGCCACCCTGTAGAAACAATGAAACACTTTCTGTTGCACAAGCAATCGTAAAAATATTCTACTTCATCTCTTGCACTTTGGTAAACCAAGTATTTGCGTGCAGCCTCTTTTCAGAACTAATCTTATGGTATCATGAAAGTTAAATAATATAAGTTTAATCTTGAATTATACACGATGTCCGAGGTACAAGATAAAATATTAATTATTTCTAAATGACTCTTGTACCAGAGTTGCAATTTTAGCGAACATTTTATACCCCAAAGCCCTACTTAAATTGCAAACGGTTAATTGTTTTGTGCTCCTTTTTAACCAAAAGAGAGAGAAGATTACCGTGGAAATTTTCTTTGTGTTTGCAGGATGAAAGAAATTTCACGACGAAAGTACAAACAAGAGAAGAGTGAAATCACTTTTCGTTGATGACAATTCGTCGATCTCCGATGAATTACGAGAAATGAAGTCTTATGGAAGCGTTGATCCATTCAGGGAATATTATTCCCCGAGGAACTGTTTCCCGTTTACTTCTCTCCTCCCACCCCTCTCTGTGTGGCTCACGACGGAATAAAATTTAACGGATTGAAGGCCGATAACGACGGAAACTTTTGACAAAACTTTACCCAATTTTTATCTTGTCGCAAATGTGACTCTCGGAAAATATCGCAGTGATTTATAATTCCACGAGAAGACTTCTATGTCCTTCGTATGATATATTACAGGCATATTTAAAATATACAGGGTGTTCCAATGATTTCTTGCTCTGGAATTTCACCTAAAAATTTTGGGACACCCTGTATAACAATGGACTTTTTCATTATTTACCGCCAAAAAAACTTTCATATTATCGAACCCAATTACTCACGCCTGTAGCGATATGTAATTCAACTGACGTTCAAAATTCGAATTTTTTGAACAAAAAAATTGAATATTTTTGGAAAAAGAAGTTTATACAAAAAGTACAAGGCTAACAAATGGAAATTAGTTTTAATATTATTACGTATGGTTAAATAGTTATTCGTTCGTCGTGAAATTCTGTCCAATAGGGGCGGTTCTGGCGGTCTACGAAGAGCAGCATCTCGAAACTGGCCGTTGAGTGCGTCGATCGTCGATAACGCTGTCGTTGCATCTCTAATAATAATCGTTCGTAAGTGGTCGCAAACTGGGCTGCTATCATCTCAATAATGAAAAACAGTGGACACGTAGGACACGATAAATTGAAGGTGGCGAGAACGAAAGGGGGGCAATAAAAGACAGAGGGAGAAAAAGAAGAAATACAGAAAGCAGGAATTAAGACGATGAAGAAAATAAATTGCAAGAAATAACGAGAAAATGAATAAACACGGATCTTCGCAAGTGATGAGTTGAAGAAATATCAACAACAATGTATAAATAAATGTGGATCTGAAAAATGAAGAAAAATGACAATAAATAAATATAGAATCATATGGGTGTAGAAAGAAATTAATGATGTACACCCTTTTCTGAAGTGAACAAATGTTAAAATTCGTGTCTGAAGAAATAGAACATCGGATTAGGTGATTAAACAAAAGAGTAATGCAAAATGTAGATGAAAATTTGTTAGAATATTTACCTATTATTATGGTCCATTTTCAGGTTCCCCCAAGTCTGTGCTTTTCCACTAACACGTGTAAACGGCGACCAATTACAATCTAACGCGTATTTATTCATTCCAACCACGAATGCACCACGTATTCACTACGAATATTTCACGATAAAAAAGGGACAGGCAACATATTCTACTTACACCCGCAAAATTTAACCTGCAAAAAAAGCGAAAAATAGTACCTCGAATGACTCACGTGTAGCATTAACGGACAAAGCTGCTTCAAAGTCAACGATCACGTGAGCAAAATCGATCCTATACATATTATCCCTCTAATTACGATAAACTTAATTGAAAAATCATAGTCTGTTCCCAATATCCCAAAAAATTCTTAATTACCGCCTTAACCTCCTTAAACCCAGTGCACGTTGCAATATACAGTAACGTTAACGTCTGTTCTGAACCTATTTTACATTGTTTTAAAAGATAATATCTAGAAAAAAAGCACAGAAAATAGTTTCAGAAGCAACGGTTAAAATTACTGTATTGCAATGTGCACTGGGCTTAAGGAGGTTAACTCGATTTTGAACTATCCACTGTAAAGAATTTTAACAAAAAAAACCCACTATTTTCTTTCACGTGTTCAAATTTTTATCATTTTTCTATTCACCGTGGCAAGGAATCCGTTCGACAAAAATTCGAAATCCAACGGACGCTCAATTGACCGGTTCCGCGTAACGGGGGAATCGTGGATTTAACGGGACGCGCCTTAACCTATTTTCAAGGATCACGGATTCGAAACGTTAAACGACGTCGACAGGATCTAGCTGCCCCTTATGGGAAGGGTATAAATACATTCCTTCGAAGAATACCCTCACGACCCTTTCAAGGAACACATAATATACACTTAAGAGGGGACCGGGTTTTATCGAACGCACCATTGATTCTTTTCCATTTCTCGATGTTACCATCGGGTACGCGCGGAAAGGGGGGGGGGGCGCTCCGATGACATAATCTGAAGTTGCCTCTTACGTTTTACGTCGGTTCGCGCGGCGCGAGAATCGAAAATCGATAATCGTGAGTTGGTCGGTTTATATCAATATTTGAAATACTTTCGACTCGATTTCATTCTCGCCCGTCCGGGGGTTTATTCGATAACCTCGTCGATCGACACACGGTTCGTCGATCCATTTTATTTCGTGACCGGAATGTCCCATTCCCGACGGAAAAAGAATCGTATAAGAAGATGTTTTCCAGTGGCGGGCGAAATTGAATTTTCGACCCTGGGAGAACCTATCGTATCGTACACACGATGGAACTACGTATCAAAGAACCGTACACACACACACACACACGCCGCCAACACACGTATATTCAATTATTACGCGTTAACCAGACACGGTGACTTCGATTTACGATCCGCTAAGAGTACGTAATCGAGATACAAACAGCGGAACAGCAGTTGTAAATATTTGCCCTGACACCGATTCACCTTGCGCGACGACTGGGTTCCAACCACGGCGAGGCGAGATACAATCGCCCGCCGTCGGAACGCACCTAAGAACCGGAAGTACTGCGTTAGTCAAGTCAGTAATTGATTTCGATATCGTTTTGAAAAAATTACTATTACTACACCGCTTATCAGGTTTAACTGAAATTCAAATTGAAATAGTAGATATTACCGGAAGTACAATATCAGACAAATCAGTAATTTATTTCGATATCGTTTGAAAAAATTGCTATTACTACACCGCTTATCAGGTTTAACTGAAATTCAAATTGAAATAGCAGATATTACCGAAAGTACAATATTAGTCAAATCAGTAATTTATTTCGATATTATTTTAAACACTTGCTGTTACATAAATACACTATCTGATAACAGGTATAATTCTTTAAAATAATACTGAAATTAATCGCTGACTTGACTAACATTGTACTTTCGGTACTTTTTACGATTTCAATTTGAATTTTCGTTAGACAACTGTCGATAAAATATAGCGATATATCGATAGGCAAATATCGACAAACAATAGCGATATATCGATAGGCAAATATTGATAAACAATGACTATATGTCGATAGGCAAAGATCGATAAACAATAACAATATATCAATTGGCAAATATCGATATATATAGTTATCGATAAATATCGCCCATCTGCAGAACCCCTTTCCCTGTCATCTCCTCGACCTGGCGCTGAATATAGGGGCTTAAAACAACCCTTCCTCCTGCACCGAGAATCTAACCAAAATGCCTTCTGCGTCGACGTAGAATACATGTCATTGTACGTCAAGAGGATTCCCGAGTCGGGGGAGAAAATCATGTTTTCCTGCCCCCTCCTTATACCCACGAAACCAAGGGAGCTTGTTCCCTAATACGTTTACCGTCGACAAGGTTGATCTTCGACCACCGGGGGTCTATTTCATTTTGCTCGGTCTCTCGAAACGAAGAGCCCAGTAATCTGATTAATGAAGAAGTATACGCTCCAAGATTGGGAAGCATGGCATCCTCCTCCCCACCCACCCATCACGCGACATTCAATGAAATTCTACGACGAATGCCCCTGGAGAATATTGAGTCTCTACGCGATGACGTAACCTCAACGTTTACCGAACCGAAATCTATCTTGCCCACACAGCCAATTTCCATCGACATTCTTTACTTTTGAATATACTGGCTGCATAGACTGCTGGTACCATTGGTCCAAATGTTATTTTACTTGATTCTGATGAAAAGAAGGATTGTTGCAATGTAAATAGATTATGCAATACTATGTTGTGTAGATGTTAATATGGAGACCATTGTCCTAGGACTGCATTTGGATAGATCATTGGAACAGTAAGTGATAGATTGTGGATGTATGATACTTATATGCAAACAGATGAATTGTTTAACATAAGTAGATTATGAGGGCTAGGACTACAATTATATGTTAAGTGATAGAATTCTGTGAATATATATTATCTATGCAAACAGATGAATTACTTGGATAGATTATGGACATAGGTAGAATATATATATTAGAACTGCCATTATAAATGTGTATTGAGTAATAGATTATGTATGGAATTACTTGTATATATTATAAATACAAACAGATGAAACACTTGGATAGATTATGAACATAAATAGATTAGGACACAGACAGATTACTAGCCCACACAGATTATGAAAGTGGACACCGTAAATTATTAGCGGGAACAAATTATGATATAATGCACCACGACCCGTAAATAACCGACTAACAATTCCTGGGCCACAAATGTAGAAACTCGTAATTGCAATCGCTTTCGCTGGGTCTTCGGTTTCAACGAAATCAAAGGAAACCTATTCTCGCGAATACACGAGGGGGTAGGAGGTGGACAAGGGACATTTGACCGAGACCTTACGTATCCCGTTCACTTTCGAGGCACCGGTGCAATTAATTGTCGCGACAAAGGGTAGGAAATCGTAAGTATCGAGCGAGTAACGGAACAACGAAAGCTTCGTTACAGCGAACTTTCTTTTTTTTTTTTCTTAAGGAACACAAGCCTCTAATAGGGTGTGCCACGGTGTAGCATAGTGTTTAATGAAGGGGAAAGAAACCTCTTTGACTCTTCCAGTCAGGTAATTCAATTTGTGTACCTTGGGTGCGAGAGAAAAAGGAAAGTTGAATCGTCCGTAGTGTATCGGAGAATGTCGAACTTTTCTTGATAGAGGACAAATTTAAAAAAAAATTTTTTTTCAAAATAAACATCATCACTCTGTCATCCCTTCTGTTCATTTGTTACTCAGATCCTTTATGAAAGAAATAGAGGGTTTTAAAGTGTTCACGGAGACACTAGCGAACAGTGTTGTTCAATGAAAGTGTAATATCTGCGCAAGGTATCTCACGCCTACAATGTTTGGTAAACAGAGTTGTAAACAATCGAGATAACGGGAAGAATTTAATAGAATGATAGATTACATCACAAAATGTTCAAAATATTTTGGAACATTTCCATTATGTAGACTCGATCTTGTTGGTCAACACTAGATAGATGGAAGGATGTAGATTCTATGTATCTGTATTATAGAATGTAGATAGATGAAGGTAGATGAAATTTAGGTGGACGAAACACTGACTAGGAGAATAATTTTAGAAAAATATCAGTGATGATTTGGTATATAACACGGATAAATGAAACAACATAAATATGGGCTAATGGAATATAGATAGATGAGGGTAGATTAAATATAGATAGATGAAACAATAAGTAATCAATTAATCTTAGAGCAATGTCAACTAGACCAATATAAGTAATGATCTGGCATACAAAATGGACAGATGAAAGAAGATGAATATACATAGATGAAGGTAGATGAAACATATCAATAAAATATCAGTGCTGACCTCGTACATAATACCGACAATTCTTTAAAGTCACAAATACTCTATCGACTAATAAAAAATGTTAACAAACAACGTACCATTAAACATAATGTTACATTGTTTGTTAAAATCTTTTTATTAGACGATAGACTACTTACTACTTTAAAGAATGTCGGTGTTTCGTACGAAATCACCTTTGATATTATTTCACTAGTTAGTGTCTCATCTACTTTCATCTATCTACATACATCTTCTTTCATCTATCCGTTTTATACACCAGATCATCACTAGTATTGTTCTAAATGACATTACTCTAAAAATTATGTTACTACTCATTGTTTTATCTATCTATATTTAATCTACCTTTATCTACCTATATTCTTCTTTTATCTATCCATTTTATACACCAGATCATCACTAGTATTGTTCTAACTGACATTACTCTAAAAATTATGTTACTACTCATTGTTTTATCTATCTACATATAATCTACCTTTATCTACCTATATTCTTCTTTCATCTCTTCATTTTGTACATCAGATCATCACTAGTATTGTTCTAATTGATATTGCTCTAAAAATCATGTTACTACTCATTGTTTCATCTATCTACATTTAATCTACCTTCGTCTACCTATATCCATGTTATAACTAATAGATTACTATTACTACTATTCGGAGCATCATTGAGTACCTCGCTTCTTCGTCTACTTGGAATTATTCATTAATAATTCCAGGCCACACGGATTAACGGACCAAAGAAAGCTACTTCCAGGGTCCCCAACTGGTTCCCAGTCGACAAACGAATCACAGCTCAATGTAAATAAAAACCCAGTGTACCTGTTGCTGATAGTGCTGATAATCGTTGCTCCCTTTTATCACAGCCGAAGCGGCGTTCAAGAGCGTACAACAGCCTCGAGAACCGGCTGGACGATCTATCCAGAACCATCTTTGATCCTCGAACAGGGTGGAGGGGATGACGATGGAAAACGAATTTTTGACAAAATTTTTCTTCCTGTCTCAGGATCGTCGACCGATTTCCTATGAGAGTGTTCACTCCGACGGGCGCGTCGCGGTAGTTCGAGTCAGGGACAAAACTGGCGGTACGTGTGCGGCGTCGCGACGCGCGGCGTCCCTCTTATAGCCCCGCTGGTCCAGCCCGCTGATTCGTCCACGCCGCGCATCCCCGAGCGCTTGGAACAACGTATACTCCGCCGACGATAACAAACGCTGATAACTTTGACACGGAGGTTTTCGCGCGTCGAGCTTTCTTTTTTTTTTTTGTTCGATGTGAGACACCTCTTTGGGTTGTGGTTGTTACGGTGGACTGTGATGCTAGTGTGGATGGTGGGGAAATGGGGATCTTCGAGGTCTGGATCAAATGGTAATTGGTGGGGACATGCAGTTATGGTACCTCTGAACTGAAAAAGAAAAGGTAGAGATTAGAGGGAGGTCTTCAAGGGGGGTCAATAGATAAATCGTGACTTTGGAAAGGAAGATTAGTGGGTTTGACCTTTTTTGTTGTGGTTTTTCTATTTCTTTGGAGACATTGTAGAACTGTCCAGGTAGCTTGTATATTTAAGTTATGGTACCTCTGAACTGAAAAAGAAAAGGTAGAGATTAGAGGGAGGTCTTCAAGGGGGGTCAATAGATAAATCGTGACTTTGGAAAGGAAGATTATTGGGTTTGACCTTCCTCGTTGTCGATCTCGTTTTTCTATTTCTTTGGAGACATTGTAGAATTGTCCAGGTGGCTTGTATATTTAAGTTATGCTACCTCTGAACTGGAGAAGAAAAGGTAGAGCTTAGAGGGAGGTCTTTAATGGGGGGTCAATAGCTAAATGGTGACTTTGGAAGGGATATTGGGTTTGACCTTTTTCATTGTCGATCTTCTGATTTTTGCTTTTTTTTCGAGTCATTGCAGGATTGTCCAGGTAGCTTGAATATTTAAATTATGGTACCTCTGAACTGACAGCTTGCAAAAATTGGAATAACTCTGCACATCTATAACCTGAAAATAATAAAAAAAAAACATTTCTAGATAATAAATAATATAATCTACAAAAAATAATAGTATAAAAGATATAATCACTGAATAAAAAATATAAATAAAAAAAGTAAAATAGTGTGTATATATATATCGCAAATAACAATAGCATGTGAACACTTCATACACCTTTAAAAGCAAACCAAAAAATGGTGGTCACGATCGTAAGATAGGAGATAATGCACAAATGATTCTTGCCGCTCGAACGTTTGACGACTTATGGTCGTACCGGCACGAATCAATTGGTGCACGTAAGTGGTGACGTTTTCAAGCCCTCCCCCACCCTTCGTTCCACCACTCGAACCGACTAGGATCAATTAAGACCACTGACCGTGATGTTTATCCGAACGAGTAATTGCTATAAGCTGTACCGACGATTGCGGGACAGTGTATTTTTGGAAAAAACATTCACGGGTTAGCGACGATCTCTCCCGCCCCGAGGACAATTTCGTGTGACCCGATTTGTCCTTCGAAACTTTACTTTTCAAAAAAAAATAAATAATTAAATAAAGAAATTTTATTTAAGCATAAAAATCCATTGAACTTTCATTATAACAATTTTTTCACATCTGTCATAGTTTTCAAGATATATAGAAAAAGGGAAAGACATTAACCTTTAAGGGGTGTTTTCAAGAAATAGAAAATTGCTCGAGGTCCCTTACAAACAACTCTGTAAAGTTTCACAGATAAATCTGAATTTTCTAATCACCCATGTTCCCTTGTAAGGATTCATTCAAGAAGCACCGAGTGTCCCCTCTTCATCAATGGAATCTTGCGATTCAAGGAGACGAAGAGAACCAACCGACGAAATCGTTGACGGACAGACACGATGGGAAACGATGCAATAAATATTTTAATTGACCATGAATAAGAATATCGCCCGCGGCGGTATTTATCCAAAAGGGTATCGATTATACAAAGTGTCCGCAGCCTCGTTTACCGTGAAATAAGATTCGACGCATTCGATAGAAGGAATTGAATTATTCACTGGGAGACGCTTCTGAATTTTATTAAATCACGTCCGCGAGATTTACGAGCCGGTTCGACCGTGGGCCAGAGGGGGGAAAAACATTTCGTTTTGTGGTCGATTGTTTGATCAACTAAAACGTCCCTTGATTCTGACCTTTATGAGGAGGGAGGAGGGAGTGCCGGGGAACTTTGCGAAACACTGGAAAAAATTCTTATTTTCTTAAAAATGGGAAAATTGGTTTGCTCAAGAAATAAATTTTTCATCTCTTTTAAATGTTGTAAATAACAATTTTTTTTTAGTAGTTTAAAATAAAATTATATCTTAAAATAATTCTAAATTTTATATTCACTTGTTATATTATTGTTTAATCATTTTGTAGTGTCCTGTATTATTATTACATTACTCTCTAATAATATTAACAATATTTTTACTGAACTCTTGTGTAGTTCAGGTTAAAATTATATTCGAAAATAAATGTTTCATCGTTTTTAAGTTATGTAAATTTAATAGTAGTTCAAACTAAAATTATATTTTAAAATAATGCTAAACTTTCCTTTGAGTTATTAGATTATTATATAATCATTTGGTAGTGTTTTATGTTATTGTTACATTTTGCTTGGGTGGTCCGTTCCCTATCCATTCACATCACACAATCTGCAGTCTCACAGCTGTCTGACCATAGCTGTCACACACTACTGATTCTCTCCAAATAGACCGTTGGTATGCATAAGTAAAACCAAGAATGCCTCCACATTTCTCTCCTATGTCACCGCCCTCAAACTTAAAGGGCCTCAACCATTCAACATCTTAAAATAAAATTGATTTCTTTTGCATTTTCTAAAAATACAAATTTTCAAAACTGTGTCCCCATAAGGATATTCCAGAATTCGTAAAATTAACGAAGTCACAGAAATTTTTAATTCCTCCCACAATAAAATCGGTTCACAACCCTCGCGTGCCTATGACCGGGTCACCGATGACCCATCGATAACTGCACTCATCGAACTGTGTGCATGATAATTAGAGAATTATTTCGTAATTTCGCCACGGGTCATAATTGACACTGCCTCCGTACTCCAAGGATTAACGATTAGAATAATTCGAATACAGACTCCTCTTGATTATTGTCTCGACAATAATTGTATAGGCAGAAATGTTTGAGACCATCGTAAATTCGTTTTTAACCCAAAACCAGTACCAAGTGGTGGGGATAACGTCTAGACAATAATCGTGTAGAACAAGCCAGACAATAATCGAGATGAGTCTGTAATAGAAAAATCAATAGTCCCTGTACAATTTTCTGGAAACCCACCGAATAGACTAATTGCGCAAAGAAACGTTGTAAAAGAATTATTTGAGACGAATCAGATACACCTGATTCTGAAACTCCATTTCCACGGAACGACTTTAAACTTGGTTCGTGGAAACGGGGGAAAAAAGAGACTCGAAGGAGCTCCAGTGTAAAAATTCCCGCCACTATCCAGAGGTGGAACTATATCCTTTAATGCTCCGCGGAGAGCCCTTTGACGTTCCATTCTTTTCCCCACTTTTCAGTGTTCCCTGGATTCGCTAGTTTGTAGAACAAACAAAATATACACAGTCCTTTTGCATAGTTTAAATATCCCAGGGAGATTTCGATACTTTCATATCCGTAGTGCAACAATTCTCAACCAAGAATCTAAAGAGTCTGTGAACTGTTCAATAGGAAAACAAGTTTGGGAGAATAAGCCTGAATGTTTAAAGATTCTTATTTACTATTTACTTATATTATAATTGTTCTTACTTATTCCACTTGCTCTTGCTTTAGAATGAAAGAAAAGAAATAGAATCTTTCAATGCAGTCCTGATAACGATATTTCAATGGCCAGGAACAACGGTTTAGGGACGGAAATGCGGCGGGAAAGGCAACGGTTCCATATTCTGATTTTGCTCGATATGGCTCCTCTGCCAAGCATGATCCACCGGAGCATGGTAAAGCCCGTAATTCACCCCGTTCGTCGCGATCTTCTTGAGGCCCTGTATACTCGAGAGTATCAACGCCATTTTCGCTAATATTAACGCCTTGCCGCCAAGCACAGCTAGGAATTGAAAACCCATCGGGATAAGGATCGAGCCCATCAACACGAAGCCCATCATCATCAGCGGCATCATGTGGTTGTGCCTGTGCCTGTGACGCCTGCGACCTATGGACGTAGATTGGAAATATTAAGAATTGCCAAAGTATTTAAATTATTAGAATTGTTCGAATTATTGGAATTATTCGATGCATAAGAACCGAGTAGAACATAGTAGAACTTCGTAGAATCTAGTAAGATCTAGAAAAATCTAGTAGATTCGAGTAGACTCGGCTAGAAACCAGTAGACGCTAGTAGAATCAGTAGAATTATTCGAATTAGTAGAATCGTTAGAACCTAGTAGAACCTAGTAGAACATAGTAGAACTTCGTAGAATCTAGTAAGATCTAGAAAAATCTAGTAGATTCGAGTAGACTCGGCTAGAAACCAGTAGACGCTAGTAGAATCAGTAGAATTATTCGAATTAGTAGAATCGTTAGACCCTAGTAGAACCTAGTAGAACTTAGTAAAATCTAGTAGGATTTAGAAAAATCTAGTACAATCTAGTAGCTTCGAGTAGACTCTAGTAGAATCAGTAGAATTATTCGAATTCGTAGAATCGTTAGAAACTAGGCGAACCTAGTAGAATCAGTATACTCAGTAGAACCACTAGAATTATTATTCTATGGAGAATCTTGTAGAATCCGTTAGTAGTTATAGTAGGCTCTAGTAGTATACTCTAGTAGAATCAGTATATTCAGTAGAACTAGTAGAGTTACTAGGATTATTCGAATTATTAGAGTCAAATCTAGTAAAATCTACTAGAATCCAGTAGAATCAGTATATTCAATAAAACCAGTAGAATTACTAGAATTATTCGGATTATTAGAATCAATATAATTTAAGATAGTAGAATCTACTAGAATCTGGTAGTGTCTATTAGAATCTAGTAGAATCAGTAGAATCTAGTAGAAAAATAATTTCATCCATAAATCTGTCACAAATATACATATATTAATATATAAACAATCTATTGCAATATTTAACTTTCGTAGCAGGGTTTATACTCGTATCTGTATGTATTCTGCATTAATAGAACAATTCTAAATGGCAATCTAGTAAATTATTAAGCAAGCCGAACCTTCGAATATATTGTTCTCCACTTCTGTCTTGGAGTTGTTCAGCTGCGAAAAAACGTCGTTGGCCAGTCGATCGACGTCGACTTTGAAAACGTGGGTACGTAAAACACGACGCAGTCGTTTTACGATTATTGCTATCCAATTTGCATCGTCGTCCGGCTCGCTGTAACAGAAATATTCCGCGAAGTCGATGAAATGGCGAAGAAAAAAAAATTATCTGTACAGGGTGTCGATGAAAATGTGCGATAACAATTCTAAACTTTTCGGAAACCTTACTGGTTTCTAGGGGACTTCGTTAGAGAAGTGTCAGACAATTTTGTTATTCGTTGAAAATACTTCTTAAACGTTAAGGCATTTTCCTTTTCCTATATATCATTAAAACTGTAGCAGATGCTAAGAAAATTGTTAGAATGAAAGTTTAATGGTTTCTTATGCTCTGTAAAATAGTACAATAAAATTGTCGAAACTTTGTTTATTTAATTATTTATTTATTTAAAAAATAAATTTTTAATAATTTTACTGCTCAGTTTTATAGATCACAAAAAACCACTAACTTTTCATTGTAGTATTTTTTTTTATATCTACTATAATTTACAAGATATCCTGGAAATTAGAAAAGGACACATTAAGGGATGTTTTCATCATGGGGAACCAAACAGTAACAAAAAAGAAAGATTACCCGAAATAATTTTTATGAACTACCCTTATGTCTTCGCTCTAAGCACCCGCAAACCTCATTCCGATCAGTTCATTAATTCGCCAGTTATAATTTATTGCAAAAAAATCGACAATTTTTTTAAATTTCCAAAAATCCTTTGAGACACGTTTATATACCAAAGACCACAACAGATCGATGCTTCAACAAAATCCGAAACATCGCCCGAAAAAGTGTAACCCAGGTTATTAAATCGTAATTCCTCGTTCGATGGGGGTACTCACAGAGTGAACGATTCCAGCCAGCAACTGATATCCCATTAAGCTAATATCTATGTAAGAGGAAGCCCGTAAAGGGGCCCTCCTTAAACGCGAATTCCTCATCACGAGAGATCGCGTGACTCGAAATTTGTCTCTCCGGTTGAAACGGCAACCTCCTCCCTCCAACCCCTCCCTCGACCGTTCCATTAAAGGCTACGATATTTTCCCTGTCCGCCAATGAAATAGAGCGAAACGTAGAACCGCGTGGCCCGCTACCACGTTTGTATCGCTGCACACTCCCCCCCCCCCCCAAACTCACTCGATACCCGGAAGCGGTTACTGTTATTGATAGCCGTAGCCACCTATGCTGAACTCGTCCATTTATTTGCTTCTGAAAATTGGTGTTAAAAATTCGAGATTAAATACCTAGTACAGTGTGTACAAAAAGCAAGAGTTAAAATGAAAGAATGTTAAATAAAATATACAAAGTGTAGAATTTTAAACGAAAGAAAAAAAAGTTACTACTTCTTTGATTTTTTGTATTTCCATGATTTTTTAACGTCAACTTCAATACTATTTTTTTACGTAAAATGTTAAATCTGCTTATAAAAAATTTGTAATTCACTTATATAATTTTGTCCACCATTTGATTCGTCTTTTGAAACCATTTAAATTACATAAAAAATATTTCTCGCGTGGTTACAGATAGGGAAGGTACTTAGGTGGCCTGTTTGAAGCGGAACTAAGACAGAGTCTAATAACCGTACCTTCAAATAGCACTTCCTAAAAAATTCGAATAACAATCATCATTCCTACATTTCTCTTTTGAAGGGGTCAATATAGTTACCCTATATAGGAATTCGGACAATTTCAAGAAACGAACGTTCCCTTCATTTTCTCTTCAAACGGAAATCGTTCGAAGGAAATAATTCACAATTTACCGAAGAAATCACTTCCCTCCGGTTCTGAATCAATTACAAGTGAATGTAATAATAATAAGAGGGACACGGGGGTGGCGTCGCTTCAATGGCACTGAGCGATACTCACTTCGGCTGGAATATGATCAATAAGAAATCTAGTTTCATGCACACTTTTATTGAAACTTTGTGAAGTTTCGAAGCGCGGGAACAGTTACAGAACTTCCTCGAAAACTTGAATCTTCGTCGAAGGTCGGCCCAGAGGAAGCCGTATCTCTTTCGACAATTTTAAAATATTGAGAACAGATTAAGGGAATGATAGTTCTTTTTATGTAGGAACTCCAGTTAGGTGTCCATCGGAATTAGAATCTGAATCGAGTCTCTGTTAGGCCCAGATTATGTAGTCCACTACGTACTACTACTAGGCCTTTTTTTTTTTGCGTACATTAGGCCCAAATTAAATTTTTTGAAGGCCCAGTTTAAGCTTGGTTAAAGCTGGAGTAATTTAAATTTGGAAGTTGAAATTTGGCTTGATCTGAGTTTGGTTAGGACCAGGTTAGGTCATAGATCTCACGTCTGCGGTAGATCTTGAATTTAGGTTAGATCAATCATTACTTTGGGTTGGATCAATCTTCACTTATAAGGGTTAAGGGGAATCTTGAGGTTTGATTGGATCAATCTTGAGTTACAAGAGTTAAGGCAAAGCTTGAGTTTTGGTTGGGTCTTGGTTAGACTTTATGCCCAAATTCCAATTACGTCTACCCTGAATTTGAGCCAGATCTAAGGTATATTAAAATCAACAAGTGGATTTTTAGGTCTTAGGCCCAAGTCCCAATTATGTCTATCCTAAATTTGAGTCAGATCTAAGATATATTGCAACCAAGAAGTGGATAATTAGATCTTATTATCCATGTGTCTCTAGTTTAACTCAGAAGATTTCATATCACCGAAGTTCCCCCTGTAACTTAGACCTGGATTTACCTATCAACACGTCCGTTGTCGGTTCTGTTGACTCTATCCTCATCCTGGAACCGTACCAAGTCCAGGCCGTCGACGACTGCAATAACATCGTTCCCCAGAAGCGAATCTAAGACAGCCGACGCGCGGTCCTGCACGCAACGTCGGAATTTCTCGAGGAAATCGTCCTCTCCCGAATCGTTCCACGACTGCTTGGGACAGTTCTGAAGCGCTGTGCGTAAACTGGTGTACCATTTCGCGTCTTTTTCGTCGCAATGAACGTGTCCCAACAAAATAAATACTAGCACGGACACATGGTACGCGTTAGGGTGGATCTGCATCGAAAATAACATCCTAATATCCTGATGTATCGATCGGCTTGCACTCCAATTCGATTGGACCTTAATGGCAGCGGATTCTTGCCGCGTTAGAACAGCTGCTGTTGACAGAAACGTGCATGTGTCGGCGATGCTTCAGGTTCTGGGACACTTGGCGGTTCCATTAACGTTGTGGACCGTGTTCTCTATGTCACTTTCGAATTGTAATCCTGTTTTAATGATATAACCGCCTGGCTGGTGTAGTACAGGTGTCCACGACGCGGCCAAATAGGGGACAGGTAATGTGACCTGGTCCAATTTATACAATGACTTGAATGGAGACTCTTTCAGGCTAGAATTACCGTGTTCCGTCCTTCATTGTTGGCGATTGTTGCTGTTGATTATTCAAGTTTCAAGCGTTATTGTTGTTTATTGAAGCTTCAGGCGTTGCTGTTGATTATTGGAGCTTCAGGCAGCTTGAATCCGTGTCTCCTGGTCACCAGGGAGCCTCACGCAGGAATCAGGAACGCACTGTTGGCCGACGTCCTTCGACGACACTCGGTCAGGAGACACTGTAAACCGTTCGCCGTGAGTATATGAAGATTTATAGTACAGGAAATAGGCTATGATGCCGGTTGGACGGTCATTACGATTCATCGAACGGCGACAAACGAACGGTCAAAAGGCGGCGACCATTTCATGCTCTAGCAAACATGGTCTGTAATCATCGAAGAGTTCTAGGGCTGGCATGACGGCGGTCAGGACCATCATTTATTCTTGGACGATTGATCAATGGTGACTGTGCGTGCACCCTGGCATCGGGTGCAATCGAATCTGTTGAAAAGATGACTGGTGAGAACAAAAAATAATAAAACAAAAAAGTGAATGATTAATAATTGATGATCTTGCATGGTGCTGGGTCGATTGTGACGTACGATCTTGTCGAGGAATGTTGCAAATGTTTTGAACAATTATTAATAATCTATCTCTAGGACCTTGCAGTTGATTTATTATAGGCTTGCTAGTTGAATTGAATCTGCTGAAAAGATGCTCGTGCACGCAATCCTATGATTAATAATTAATAATTCTAAATTTTCCACATGATCACATTGAGAATATTCCAAGGACAATTAACAATACATCATAAAAAAGATCTTAAATGTGATATCTGATCTAAAATGACAAATTAAACTATACTTTCGGCCTTTTGGAAAAAAATCTGATCTACAATCGACTCCTAAAAGCTATGCAAATTGTCGCAGGACAACACCGTGCGGACAATAACAGTAATTTTCTTTCCAAACGGTGCACCTTTGATACCACCATATCCATCCGCGGCACCGTAAATTCACTGCTGGAAAGCAATAATTTCGTTGACTTGTAAATTCGTACTGTTCGACGAATTACAGTACGCCGATCCATTGGGTCACAGATCTGCAAGTTTGCGGTACATCTTCTTAGGCCCAATCGACGTCACATACACAATGCACGCGCATAGAGCGTAGAAAAGGGACAGAAAAATCCTGAAAAGACACAAAACAGTAAAATAATGTTTCGATCTTTAATAAATCGACGATTCGAAAACTTTATTATCGGTACCATTAATAACGTAACAACGTAGTCCTTAAATCCACGATATACGAAACACACAACACACACGTGTTCACCAAACGTTCTCATCGCGTACAGACTCCTCTCGATTATTGTCTCGAACTCGAGACGAGCCAGGACAATAATCGTGTAGTGAGAAATGCTTTCGAAATGGTAACAAAGTATGCGCTTGACAGGTTCCATGCCCCCCCCCCCCCTTCCAATGGTGGGGATTACGATTGAACAATAATCGTGTAGAAAGTAGAACAAGCCAGACGATAATTTTTAGAGTTCAATATCATTTCAAGGTCACACATTATACATAGATAAATGCATAATAATGCTGGCTACAACATATAACCGGAAAAATTATGCGCATGTACGTAAAAAAAACATGGGTGACCTTGAAAAAACCATTAAAATATGATATAAGAAATTTTTGCCGCCATCCGATTCGTCGCTTGCAACCATTTAAATTGCGTTAAAAAAGTAGTCTCCAGTGGTGGGGATTAGGTCTGGACAATAATCGTGTAGGACAAGCCAGGACGATAATCGAGATGAATCTGTACTTCGTCGACGTAGCTGCACTCTAAAATGTGAATCCTATCGGTTAAAAAGAAGCGTCCAAGCAATAGAATCTCTTCAACAACAGTAACTGCACCATAATCTTCACCATCCGTGAAAAACGAACATGATACACAAGCTGCGACAGAAAGAAGCAACGATACAATGTTTAAAAAAAAGAAGAAATTACAAACTATCGTGGTAAATCACGCTTGTAGGAGCAAAATATATATATATATACAGGGTGGGATATTTAAATGGGATCACCTAAATATCTACGTTATTATTAGTGCTATGAAAAAATTCCAAATTTGCACTGGAATTTCTTTCATACGACTAATAATAATGTAGACATTTAGGTGTTCCCATTTAAATGCCCCACCCTGAATATAGTCGTACAAGGTCTGACAATATCATGTCTAATAGTCAACAGTCTATGCAGCAAGGAGAACCCTTCTGTCGTTATCCTACACCCAAGTACCTTCTCCTTGAAATTGTATATAATATAATATTATTTAAAACAGTGCTGTCCAACATCAGCATTAAAACATAGGGAACCACCTTACTCAGGGTGCGCCCTATAAAGAAGTATATCGAGTCACGAAGAGAGATAAAAGCGCGTAAATAGCCCAATTCGTCGACGCAGCACTGATTTCAAGTGATCAGAGGCCCATGGAACCGGAAACAATTCGACAAAATATCAAGGGCGGCGTACACCATGTTCCATAACCCTCTTGGTCATCTCGAACCGTGCATTAACATGATTAAATCTCCTATTCTAACGTACGCGCGCAACCTCTCAACCCACACAACAATCTCTTTACATCCTCCTAGTTATACGCTTTCCTGGCTCTATCTCAGCTGATCCTCGCGGTCGAAGATCCGCCGTACGCGTCAGACTATCTAAAATGTTACATAAAAAAATAAAGAACAGTCGGTTTTTCGTTTCCTCCGGCTGGCCCCCCCCGTGGTCCTAACACGCGATTATTGTAAAAACGCGTGTTCAGTCTTTCAAACGTGCGTCAGGTACCCGAGGACGCCATACGTTAACGGCCTCCACACCTTATGTTTTGCAGACATACGAATTGTAGCTACATATGGAATAATTATCCTCCGGTATTGTGTCGCGTTCCTCGTGGCTGCTGCCCTCCGCGCTCTTCATCCCCTTCAGACGGTACTTGTTCCGCGGCATACCGGCGATAATGCACAATTCCAACAACGCCCATTCCTCGATAGACCCCAGGGAGCTCTCCTCGCTGAGAGAGCTCACCGAGCTGTGGCGAGATGGCGCCACGTTCGACTTCGTTGTCCCGCGACACTGGTCGTCGTCGTCGTTATCCGTCCCATTCGAAATCGGGGATCTACAATTAGGCGGTATCTGGGAACGCGGGAAGTTCGAACCGGTCTCGTTGACTGTCTGTTGTTGTTGCTCATGGTCCACTGATAGTTTTCTATTGTAGGATTGCAACGGGTTCCTCTCGTACATGCCGCCATTTTTTATAAGACGTCTGATCTCCGAATTCTTGGCAGAATGGGCGACACCGGATGACCCACCGTGCATGGACGCATCGTTTCCGACCGGTTTATGAACCGATTGGCTCTGTACCGTGGCGTTTCTGGACGAATAAGATTTATTAACGTAAGAGGAACCGCTAGCGATCCTAACTTTCGAGTACTGGTCCGCTTGTTTCCGCGAGATCAACGACGAACTCGACGAAGCGTTCACCGCCTGAAAATAAATAATAACAAGCGTTTCCATTGCACAAAAGCCGCGGAGCTCATTTTTATATAAGCATAGGAGCGCGTATCTTTACTTTTGGGATGCCAGATTTAATGCACTGAGCTAACATTATATCCTCCTCCTCCTCCGAGAGACTCAGAGTGTCTTCGAACGGTATCGGTTTCTTTGACTGATGATGCTTACTCCGTTCCGTGTACTCTGGCTGTCGGTAGGACGCGGATGTGGACGGTTTTCTTGTTGTTGTCGCCTTTGTCTTGTCCACAATCGGTGGTAACGATTGCCCCATCAACGTCGAGATGTTCAATCTAACCTGAAAATTGGTTCACGGTGTTAAGGTGTACTCGAAACGTTTCAGGATCAAGAACAGACGAAAATAGTGTACAATTCGGTCAATAATTTTCTTTAAACTTTAATAAGGTGAAAGGGGCTCTCTAAAATTGCAAAATGTCGCAAACAATTTTGATAATTATCTTTTTTTTTCGAAAATAAACAATTAAACCTCCTTTTTGCTGTTTACAGCTTATGTTCTTTCACTTAGTTCTGCATTTATAGCGACGTGTAGGTTAGGTTTCAGTTACAAATTTAACTTGTAATTGTTTGCGACATTTTTTAAAATGATATTTTCCCTTTGTAGAGAGCCCCTTTATATTAAAGTTTGAAGAAAATCGGAATACCCCCTGTATTGTACTATACTATTACTGAAAATACCTTGGGCATCGCAGATCTTATGCATTCGCTCAAAATGGCCTCGTCGTCCGAATGATTGGGACTCTCGTCCGAAAGGTCGTTGTGCTGCAGAATCGCGCGACACAGAGATTTACCGAGAATGGCGTTTTTTTTGGCATTTTCAACCGGAGACGACGACGGTGTGCCGCATTTATTGAATCTCTGTGTCGGTACTTCCGTCTTCTGAGCAAAGGTTATGCAACTGGTAGGTGGCGGTGTGATCTGTCTAACCTAAACAGCAACAAAAAAATATACTCAATACTAGATACGTATTTTTTTTCGGGCCTTTTAGATTCCTTGCTAGTTTCTTTAAAGAACAAATATACCTTTGGTATTCCTGACTGAATACACTCGTCCAGCATCTTCTCGTCTTCTCCAGACAGATTAGAACTCTCATCGGAGAGGTCATTCCTGTGGCATTCCACTTCGCCAGAGAGCTTGATCCCCTCGATCCTCTCTACGTCTTCTTGAACACTTGGCATGGACAACGCGGAGAGATTCGACTGCGATCCCACAGGGGAAATATCCGCTGGTGTGTCCTCTGTACAGTACACATGCACAGTATCCGGCGCAGCAACCACTTCTATGGTGCTTTTATTTACTTTAGTAGTTGTGGCTGGAGTATCTACGTTAGTGACAGGAACTCGTGGTTCCAGTCTATTTATGACAGCAGTCTGCTGGCAACGAGCCAGCATGTTTGACGATTCAGATTGTATAGATTTTTGTGCAGTGGACGTTTTAAAAGATTGTCTATACCTGTAATATATTCGGTATTAGAAACTGAGACTGTTGTACCATGAACCAGAGTTGGGCACACTTTTATCCGAATAATACTTAATGAGATTGAATAATTGTTTGCTAGGAGTCTACTCGTTCAAGAAGAAGCATTATTTTATTATAAAAATTGGAATCTCTCAATAACGATGTTTTTTTTATTTTTTATTCGTTATTTGAAACTCTTTATCTAGATGATGAATTTGCCCGTCTGTGCCATGAACAGTACTTCTTATAAGACACTACCTATTATTTTTTATTCCCATACTGATGCACGCTGCCAGCATATCCTCATCATCTTCATCGCCATCGCTCACTTGTTCTTGGTCCTTCTCAACTTCCACGTTGGTGGTTTTTTCTTCGCACGAACCTTCTTTCGTATTTTTATCAGTATCGTTCGAAGCCACTTTCACTTCGGACATTGCTTTAGTGGTCTCGGTGATCTTGACCTCGTCGTCGATAGTAAGCGAGCTGAGACTGGTGGCTGTAGAGAATTCAATAGGCGTTGATTCTTCCTTGAAGGTCGCAATGTCATCCTCGAAGACACTTATACGTGGCGCATGACACTTTGAGTATGCTGGAAAAATCGTTCTATTTGAAAGCTACACAGGAGACTTGCGCGAATGAATGTATTAACGCGAACGAAAATTTCTATAATTGTTTCGGGCTGTTACTGTTACTTTTACCGGCAGTCAATAACATTGCATACATAAGTGTCGAACGGTCGGTCTTACTGCTTCTTCAGGTGTTTTGCTTACGAAATCCGAGCACTGACTCTTGTGGTTACGCGGACTAGAAGGAATCGTTTGAGTGGGTGAATCAGGTAATTCACTCGGAGACACAACTCCGCTAGTCCTACGGCTGTTGAAGAAACATTCAACAAATTATTCCTATGTTTTTTCTATACTTTACTGTTTCTATAACTCGATTCAGTACAATAAAGTGTTACCTAAAGTCACTGATAATAGAGCTGCGATCGTCGTGTATAGAATGCTGTTCAAAACCACTCAACGAGCCAAGGGAACTGCAACGTGAGAACATCAAAGGAGTTTGTTCAGCATAGAAATCCTGTCTACTAAAAGTCACCATTTTCCCTGAAACAAACAACACGTTTCAGAATAGTATACAAGACACAGATCAACAAGTGGTTCAGCGAACCTTCTTTGTCCACAACTCTAGAATTATTCTTTCCTTCTGCTGGACTATCTGCTTCGTTGGATATACGTAAACCATTAACCGCGGAACCATTCCCATTGCAATCTGCTCTTTCAGAGCCACTGTCAATTTTATCAGTCGAGTCAGTAGAAGATACTTTCGAGGTAATTCCAGTATTATTGTTTCTTTGCGTCATTGCACTGCCAAGAGAACTAAGGGAATTAACACGAGAGAAACCATCAGACGTTCCAGGTTGATAGTAATCAAGCATCTTCTCAGGAGAAAGACGGCTAGGCTTGCATGTCTGGGATGGTTTCGGGGCTTCCAATTCTTTCTCGTCCAGAAGGGACTGATTTTCGTTGCAGTTCATAGGTAGGTTATGCTCGAAACTTAAATCCTCTTTGCTGTCTCGATCGTGGGCCTTTTTAGTCGGCTTTTTCTGGGTATCCGTCGATTCCTTAGAGTCCTCCAATCGTAAATCGGACATCGATGTCGCTGTTGAGAAATTAAAAGGCGTCTCGTACGGCGTTCCTTCAGTACAATACGTCTTAACCGTGTCCTCCTGCACGCTGCCGGAAAAATACTCGGGACTTTGTTTCTCATCGTCGTCCGTGTCATCTTCGGCGTACCTGAGACTGTAATCTGTCGGTTGATCCAAGTCGGTCTCGGCATAGTCACCGAACAGATCCACCTTGGAGTTCCGTTCCCTGAATTCCTTTTTGCAGGATCGACCGTCTCGAGATGAATTCTCGATCGGATGGTCCTGGACAATGGTTTTTCTCTCGATGTACTTTTTACTGTAATCCACCAGCTGCTCGGACGCCTCTTCCTCATACCTCCGCCCGGTACTTTTCTCCATTCCGATCGGTTTCGTTAGTCGCTGTGCGAACTGGTCCACTCCGTTTTCGAATCCTAACTCTTGGACGGGAACCGATCGATGAAGGGGAAAAAAAACCACCAGGTTCAAGAGCGTACAAGTGTCTTCGTTTCAACAGCTTAACAGTCGATTACTGTTAATTACTGCCACACCATCCTTTGTGACCCTCGCGTCAAGAGTAATTATGACGCCTGGTGAACAGAGGCTGACCGCAAGGTCGACATCCTGCGGCGACTCCAGATTACCGAGTTTGCCGCTAGATGGCCACAAACAATATCCAATTCTCGCAAGTTGTTCGCAAGATTTTTTTCGCATTTAAAAACGAGTATTCCTGTCATTATTATTGGTCGTAGTTATAATAATGGGAGAATAACCGTTTGTTTTCGCGCAATAGACAAATACAGTAGAGGAGAGAACCAGTATAAAGGCGCGTAGCAGCCAAAGGATTTAATAATGTGTTATTAATTTACAGTTTTTATTTTTACACAGAGACCCTCTTAAGCTGTTTCCATTCAGTCTATAAAAAAAAATCAGATTAGTATCCTTCACTGATAAATTCCGTAGGTTGAACATAGAATAAAACGCAGCTTGTTGGAAAATGGTCTGGAAAAATTATTCCACTTGTTTATTAATACTCCTAAGTTTAGTGAATCGGAATTTAGAGAAACATCTTCAGTAAAACATTGTAAAAAGTAGTCACAGGCTTATTTCAATGGTTTTTCTCTTATGATTACATCCCTTAGAATTTATTTAACCTCGACCTCTTCCTGCTTGAGGTCCTCCAGGTTGATTTTGTTGATTTAGCCAAGGCGCTGATCCTGTGCCTCTACCCCTTTGATTTTGCCCCCTACCCCCTCTGCCACGAGCTAAACAAAGTTTAATCAAGAATATTAGTAAAAGAAATATCCAATTTATACTAGAAGAATTCTACAGGTGTTGGTACAACCCAAAGAGTAATTGTACCACGTGACAAAATATTCGAAACATTTTATTCTACACGATATGCTTGTTTTCCATAAAATATATAATTGTCTATCCATAAGAATTATGCACAGAGAATCCCATAATAAATGCTGGTAGGAACAGTGCTTGGATTACCGACTTCATAAAAAAACCTTGACCTACAAATGACTGAAAACATGAGAATAAACATATCTCTGTTATCCCGACGGATTCTACAATTTATACAGAGTGTATATCTGAAATATCTTTGTCGCTTCAAACATCAGGGAAACATCGAAGTTACCTAGAAGATTATGGTTTCAAAACATGCGTATCCAAATACCTCTTCTCCACTAAAATCATTATTCTATACAATCAAATGGCTATTTCAGTCAGCGCTATCATGGAATACCCTATATTAATATTGTATAAATCTCGGTTAATTCTCATCGTAAACAGACCTTGAGCACGCAATATAGCAGACTTTCCTCTGCCGGCTGTCCCGGAGCCTTTTCCGCCCGGTCTTTTGAACATCGGCGCGTTCTTCAGCATATCAGGCAATATGAGAAACCTAATTTTCGATCCCCTGATATACACGTTCTCCAGCTGTGCCTCCCGACCGTCCCTATGAGTGACCGTGATATTATGCATTTGACAGTTCATATTGTCCTCAGCTTCGATCAATTTTCCCCGGTACACTTCACCAGTGTTCGTTTCACAGGTTATGGTGTGACCCTCCGCTTCGTGAAGCACTTTTATCGGCACTCCAATCGACATTCTGACAGTATCTATCTCGATTCTTTAAATATTACAATCGGAATTCCTTCCGATCGTTCGACAATCCCAAATATCTGTTCAAAAAACTCTGAAATACCAAAATTACTCCGGCGAACGATAACTTGGCTTCTCCGTGGCTCCAAACGTTTACAACGTTACTTCAATGCTAACGCACAATCGAGTGGAGGGGGTATGGAGCATCTCAACGAGCGCGGGAAAATTCAAATGGAGAAAAATAAGCGCCAAAATGAAAGGCGGAATTAGTACTCGAATGAAAATTCATTTGAATGGGAATCCTTATTCATAATTTTTTTTTATATATATATATCGCCTATATGTACATATATCTTATTGTAATAAATCTATGTTTTACTCGTTATACGAAATATACAATTTCCCGAAACTCTGCGACAATCACTTTTGATCCTCCGACCGCTGACAAATGATAATTTCACTCGAGCAAGCGAGAAACAATTCGTCCTAGTCACAGAAGTTCAAAGCATTACCTCTCTAAATTTTTATCGGAAACAATCGTTTATTTATTAACACCTGAGCGAGCGAAAATAATCGAAACCTAATACTCGTTACAAAGAACGGACCCAGAACTAACGTACCGGATAGAATTCTCTCTAGGGCGATAGATTTATATATATTTTCTCTTTTAAATATACATAAATATAATTCGCTATAGTTATAAACGTTAAGAACCATCGATAGAGATGTCGATAGAGAATTTATAGCAGCTCGTCAAAAAGTGTGCCATTTTGGGTAAACGATGAAAGAAAAGAAGTAAAGGAGAGGTTAGGGAGGGGGGGCAGGGAGGATACGTAGAAATATACAGCAAAGTGTTTTCAATTAGAACTATTATCCGAACCTAAAAGTGCTCAAAAGCGTTTTCAGAGGTTGGTAATTCGTAATGATGATAATATATATATATACGTATATATTAAAGTCGACGTTACTTTTTTTTTTTAATCGCTTAAACATACTAATATCAATTGTAATAATTACAAGCATCGTTACGTCCTTATATAGTCAGCCGAGCGCGAACGTCGCTGGTAATTTCGTCTCCTGTGTCTCCCGAACTTTTAATTCCCCTTCCATTCACTCCGTTCGTTCATTCCTCCATTGTTTTTTTCCATTACATTCCTCTTATCCACTCACTCTCTTTCTTTCTGTGGTGTGCTTTGCTCTGTCACGCTTTTTCGCTGGGTAAGACGGGTACAGTAACAGCCCCCTTAAATTGCACCCTTACGTCTTTAGGGATCCGTTATAATATCTGTATTTGAAACAAGTATACACACGAGATAGACATAATAACTCGTTTGCAAATAATTTTTTTTTTTTTTTTCGAAAAATTTAACGAAAAGCAAGTATAGGGTGGGCACGATGTACAAGATGGAAGGGGGTTGTTACTGCACCCCGATAAATCGCGTTTACATTTTAGAAAAATATGCTATGCCTAAAATAGGATGAGAGCCTGAAGGCAACCGTTCTTTTTCCCGTCGATATTATTCGTAATTCTCGGTGTGTGTATGTGTGTGTACCTCCTTCATATACGACGTTATTTTTCTCTCTCATCACCTAGAG